ATTCGATAATATATTTATTATACGGCTACATTATGAATTCTTGTTAAGTTTTTCAATCAGCTACAAATATAATAAATAGTGTTCATATTTATATTGTATACAACTAGAGTTATAATAATAACAAAAATTTTACGAGTATGTATATCCGATTTAATATTTTATAAATTTTTTGAACTAATTCTACGTAGCCTATTAAACCGCAGATTATCTCTATACTAGCCTTCACAACCTGATGAGAACCATTTCGGACCTCCTGTAATTATTAAAAATATTGTAAATCATATTTTTACTCCTATATTTTCAAGAAGTTGTACTTAATTGTGATTGAAGATCTTTCTATGTTTTATAGTTTTAAAAAATTTCAAATGTTGATCATTGTCATGAAATAGATAAAATTCAATGATCAGGATACTTTTTAAATTTTTATTTTATTTTTTAAGATATATATATATATATATATATATATATATATATATAAGGATTTGAGAGAATAGAATATGAGAAGAACAGAGAAAGAGTACAAAATAGATGTGAAGAATTTTCAACTTTTCTAACTGTTTACGAAACTACAGTAGGGATTATACGTTGAAAAAAACAACAATTTTCTTTTTATTATTATTATGATTATTTTGACGTTCTTTGAGATTTTATGCTACTGGGATAACGTCATTCTCGAATCTCTTTCTAGTTTCATCTTTTCGCGGGGAGATGAACCATTCAGTACTTTACTTAATGATAAAAAATTGTAAACTATATTTCCACCCCTAAATGTTCCTCAGTTTTCTACCTCAACTCTTATGATTTCAAATTTCCCTGTATTCCTCTTATAGTTTGGGAAAATGGTCAAGTTTGTACTTATATAGCGAGATAAGTGTCTAATTTGTTTTTTATTCTAAAATAAATCAATTACATCTTTGTCTTTTAAATGAGATTTTAGTGTCTTTTCAGTGAATTTTTTCAACTAAACCACAAAAAATCACCTAACTTGCATATGATTAATTTTTTTTTTCCAAAAATACCTCTCAAAAAAAAAAAAAAAAGACTTACACACATTTAGCTAAGGGTATTATTCGAAAAAAATAATCATGTGCAAGTCGTTTGATTTTTTTCGATGATTTAGTCAGAAAAATTCACTATAAAAACAAATGAAAACTCGCTTAAAATATAGAGATGTAATTAGTTTATTTTAAAATATAAAGACAAACTAGATATTGATCCCATTATATAAGGATGGACTTGATTACTATCCCTTATAGTTTTCAAAAGTTGCAATTTTGATCATTATCATGAAATAGCTAATAAAATGTAGTGATAGCCCCCTTTTCAAATTATTTTATTTTATTTATTATTATTTAGGTATTTTCTATAAAATATTGTTACGTTTATATGAATCAAAGAGGCTAAAGTACGAGTAGAACAAGAGGAGTACGAAAACACAATGAAAAACAGAGAGCTTTCCTACTTATTTTATAGAATTAGATTGATGAGAAAATTATAAAATATTTTTTTAAAGAAAATAATATTAAATTAAATGTAATCAACAGTGGTAGTGAATTAAATAATTAATTTTTAAACAAAAATAACTAATTAATTTAACTAGAAGGACTAATTTATAATTTATTGAAAGTTCTCTCCTTTACAAAAAGTAGATTCTGTAATTGATCAGTTTTATTTTCTACGTTGTGTCGTTTTCTTATGCAAATTTCCAACATGTGCCAAGAATTTTTAAAAATATAATTGAATTTCAGAAAAAGAAGGTTTACTTCTTTGCCTTCCAAAGTTTATGCCATTGATATCTCAATGGCTGCCCTTTTGACTTCTGGGTTCAGATTGATTAAGAGGCTGCCAATTTTGATTTTGTTGCCATAATATAAATCTAAAAGGAGAGGCTGTCAAGAATGATGATTTTGAGCTTTTTTTTTTTTTTGAAAACTTGTGTAGCTGTCATTTGAAATCATGCTTTTATATATATATATATATATACATATATAAAAGATTAATGGCTCACTATATTATTATATAATAGGATAATTTTTCAATCTGTTTTTATATTCTTAATTGAATTAATTTTATTGTTGAATATATGTTAAGTATCTAAGTCATCGTTTTGGCAAGATTAAGCTAAATTATCAGAATTAATCACATGATTTGTACAAAAATTTTTTCTATTTGATTAAATTCCAAAGGCATTTTAGGAATAAAAAATAGTTATATACAAATCATATAAATATTTTTGATGGTTTGGCTTGAAAATTTTGACATAGTTATATGTTGAAACTTAAAATATATTTATGGATAAAATTAAGTCAATTAAAAATATAAAAATAAATTAAAATTTTATTTTATTATATTACGAGAGTAAATTATAAATTAGTCCTTCTCTTTTTGAGAAACAAATTAATTAGCCCTCTAGTTTCAAAACCCAATTAGTTAATCCTTTTAATCATTATTGACTATGAATAAATTTAGTATTTTTTTTGTTTTATAAAACGTATCCTCTTTTTATCGGTCTTTCCATAATTTTTACTTATTTTTTCTTTTATGTTTCTTAAAAAAAATCAAAATAAATTAAAAATTAACAAAAATGACTAAATGATTGGGTTTTGAAATTAAAATGATTAATTAATTCATTTCTCAAGACAAGAAGGACAAATGTATAATTTACTCTATATTACAATGGATTCAATCATTAACCCTTAAAAAAAATATTTCCCTTTTTATCATCATGAATTCCTTGAACTATGCTTGTTTTATGTTGTTCTTGTTTTCTTCAAATAATCAATGGTGTAAGGGTAACGTTTGTCACAAAGAAAATTAAGGATGTTAAACCAATGAGTTCAATACTTCCAAAAGGGTCATTGTCTTCCTTTTGTCTTTCCTTGCCATGTAAAACTAGTACTCCTGGTGTAGGTGCTTTCTCCATAAATAAAGGAGTAAATAATACTTTTACTTGTTTATTGCAAACTCCTTAATAAATATATATATACAAGGACATTTTGGGCTATTAAACTATCAACAACTTACATTGCCATTGTAGGTTCTCCTCCTAAAAGAAAAAGAAAGGAGAAAAAAGGACAACCATAGTTTTTGGATAAAAAAATAAAAGCAAAGAACATGAATACATTGTATTTTTTTTTAAAAAAAAATTAACATCCTTTTTATCTTATTATATTTTTTGAACCATTTTTCTAAAATTTATTTATTATCAGTAATGAGAGACCAAACCATCTCAATTTTCAAGGAAATAAAGAAGTGGAAATTATGCAAAAATGTTCCAAACTCCTCACCTTATTAATCTATTTCAATCCCGGAATCAAACCATAAAAATAAAACTTTTCATGACAGTATGATTTAGATGACTCCTTTGATGATATCAGAAAAATAAATTTAGGACCAGTTTGATTCTACTGTTCTAATGAATAAAACGTGTTTATATGAATAAAATGTATTTGTAAATTAGTTTGCACGTTAATCAATTTTTTTTAAAATAATTCTATGAGTGTATATTTTATTTCAATTTGATGTATTTAGAGAAATTTAATAAATTCTTTAAAAACTTAAAATTTAAACTCCAAGAGTTAAAAAAGGAATAATCTTTTTTCCAATCAGACCATTCGTTTGAGTTACGCTTTTTCAAGATAATATACCTATATTTTTTTAAAAGCAAAAACATTTCCATTTTAATTTTTGATTTAATAGTAATAGGTTTTTTATATTTGCAAAAAAATCATAGATTCAAATCATTTTGAATTCGATCAGTCGAGATAATATGAATTTTTTTTTCCTATTCTGCCAACTAATCTTCTGACATTAAAAAAAAAACTTATGATCAAATAGAATTTAGATTTAATACCTTAGTCGTTTTCAAAATTCTAACCTAAAACAATGTAATTATAAAATATGTTAACTTCATTGTTGTCTTTGCAATAGTTTAACTCCTCTAACTAAAGAAAAACCAGCCTTGCCATTTTTAGCAATCCAAGGTCTTCTATATACAAAAACCAACACCACTACCACTCTCCAAATCCAAATCTGTTAGTCACCTACTGTTTGGGGTTTCCCCTTTTAGTAATTACTCATCCACCGCATTCTTTCTCTCTCTCTCTAATACTTCACTCTCTCCCTTGGCTTCTTCTTCTTTGCCGAAACAAATTGCAAAGTTTCGAGGAGATTGGGATTTGTAAGGGTTTGTTTTTAGACAATTTTGTTTCTTTTAAGGTGAGCTTGATGTTATGTATGTGGTCTTATTTCAGTTTAGTTTGGTCACGTTGAATTCAATCATTCGGTGCCTTTTTTGACCATTTCTAAGCGAACTCAGATGAAAGAAGACTCAAGCTTTATGCTCATGTGCATAAGAAAGAAACAATCTTTCCTCATGTTTACCTGTATTTATGCGCTTATCTGTGTAAAGGAGACAAATTTGGAGGTGGGTTTTGTGAGTTATTGTTAATTGTGGAGTGTGGACTTATGTTGCAGTGAATCACGGAGGCTTTGGGTATTGGAAAATTTTTGGATGTCATGTTAGTATATTTTTGTTACTATTTATAGAAAGGCGGTGAAAGGTGTGTTAATTGGACTGTGCGTGTGGTGATATGTATTTATTGGCTGCTGGAAGCTGATGAATCTTGATTTATTGGTAGGTACTGCTCCATTTATGTAAGATTGGAAGGAAGTGAGATTTAGGTTTGTGGGTATTGCAATTGAAATGGGTCAAAGGTTGGTCTTTTTAAGTGCAATTGAGTTGGTTTTAGTTGTTCGAATAACAAACAGAGAAAGTTAAAGAGAGAAATTTTAGTTGTTTTGTTTAGAGGGCAAATAAAATCTGAGTGGAAAGGTTAGAACTTTGACGTGTTTGAAGGTGGAGTTCAAGTTTAGTGATGTGCAAGTCAGGGAAGATACTAGGGGAGGAAGAATTCAGTCAATTGGGTTCCTTTGGATGGCACTCTGATTGAAAAGAGGGGAGAGGTTATTAGGTGAGTATTTCGGTTAGTTATATTAATATGGAGAACCTCTTCTTGTCGAAAGAAAAGGGGATGGGTTATTGGGCTTCGCCAAGAGCTCAGACGGATAGTTTCACCCCTTTCGATGGTGCTCCGAGGAATTCATTTTTGGAGGACCCGTTGAACAATTTTTCAGAGGTTATGAATTTTGATATGCATGCTGGATGGTGCAGCAGCTCGTCAGCTATGGATGAAACGCTTTCCCCTATGGAATGCCATCTTTTCCGTCAACATCCTATCCATCCTTTGATGGAGGAAGTTTTCCAGTACAAAATTCTGCTCCCATACAGGATACAATAGTTACTGCTGGGACTTCTTACAATGGTGATGATAAAGTGATGCTTCAGCAAACGAATTCCCTTTTCGATTATCCCTCAGATTCAATTGATGCTGATGATTTGGTTGCAAAACACAGTAATAGTGCTGGTCAACAAAACCGTTTCCTAAACACAACAGATTGTTTTATTTCTCAGACACTTGGGGCTTCACTTGATGAGAGGATGCTAAGGGCATTATCCTTACTGAAGGTTTCGTCTGGAGGGGGCATTTTGGCGCAAGTGTGGGTTCCCATAAGGAATGGGGATCAATACATATTGAGCACTTCAGACCAACCATACTTGCTTGACGAAATGCTCGCGGGGTTCCGAGAAGTGTCTAGAACATTTACCTTCTCTGCAGAAGTGAAGCCTGGTGTGCCTCTAGGGCTTCCTGGTCGCGTATTCATTTCCAAAGTTCCAGAGTGGACTTCGAATGTGATTTATTATAGCAAGGAGGAATACTTACGGTCAAAGCATGCAGTTGATCATGAAGTACGGGGTTCTTTTGCATTACCGATCTTTGATCCCGATGAGATGTTCTGCTGTGCTGTTCTGGAACTTGTCACTGTTAAAGAGAAACCGGATTTTGATTCAGAGATGGAAAATATTTGCCATGCACTCGAGGTTAGTTTCAATTTATTTTATATTCTATCACAGAAGCTTTTATTCTCTTTTACTCTGTTTCTGTTCCTCGATTTAGATGATAGATTATGTAACTTGCCCAGCAACCTGTTTTCCATGTAAAAACCAAATAAAAGGAGAGAAAGGGCAGAAATGGTTTGTTCTGGAGTGCGAACAAAATGTTATTGATAAATAAGTTTCTCCCTTTGAAAACCTCTTGTTTTAGCTTCTGCAATATCTTTGGCTTGTTGTCCAGCTTGTAAGCACTCGCTCTTGGTATGTTGTTTATAAATAAATTCCTTTCCCTTGCTATTATGTTTTAGAACCACGATATGCTGCATTTTGATGAAGAAATATATTTATCTGCTGGGAAGTGCTTCATTCTCTTGAATATTCTGCATCATTCAATGATGACAAGCAAAATTATTGCACATGATGGGAATGGATCTTTAACATCCTGGATTTTTTGTTTCTACTGCTAAAACAACTACTGATACATGGGTTTCCTCAGTTAGTTGAGGGTATGGAATTCAATGCCTTTAGGTTTTATTGAAGCATATTAGTTTTAAAAGTTCTTTACTTTTATCACCCAGACAATTTTTGCATCTTGAAATTTATGCATCAATGATTAAAGCTTGCCAGTTGTTTCATGTGGCAACCATAAAAATCAGAATCCATACTTTATTTGCAAGTATATGGTGGATGATCTTGTTAATTTTTGACTTGACTGTTTGCAGGCTGTGAACTTAAGGAGCACTGCACCTCCTCGACTTCTTCCTCAGGTACTTATTAGCAACTTCCCTTTTTCTTTTTATTGGATGGTTCGAGCACTTGCACCCAAAAGAAAGGAGATGAAACACATGTCTGCAAATTGACAATGAAATAAACTAAGAGCAAATGATGAGATGACTTTAGCTTTGAACACTTTTGTTTTCTTGAGCACTTTGTCTAAGGGAAATTGTTACTTTCCAGTGTCTCTCAAGCAACAAAAGAGCTGCCTTGTCTGAAATAGCTGATGTTCTACGAGCTGTATGCCACGCACATAGGTTGCCTCTGGCTCTTACGTGGATGCCTTGTAATTATACCGAGGAAGCTGTTGATGAAATCATAAAAGTGTGTGTCAGGGAAGCCAATTCAAGGCCAAGTGGTAAATGTGTATTGTGCATTGAAGGCACAGCTTGCTATGTGAATGACAAAAAGATGCAAGGTTTTGTGCATGCATGTGCAGAACATTATATAGAGGAAGGGCAAGGTATAGCTGGAAAAGCACTGCAATCAAATAATCCCTTCTTCTTCCATGATGTGAAGGCATATGATATAACTGAGTATCCACTTGTTCATCATGCACGCAAGTATCGTCTCAATGCTGCAGTTGCAATCAGGCTAAGAAGCACCTACACTGGTGATGATGACTATATTTTAGAGTTCTTTCTGCCCATCAATATAAAGGGGAGTTCCGATCAGCAACTCCTGTTGAACAACCTCTCAGGTACCATGCAGAGAATTTGTAAGAGTTTGAGAACAGTTTCAGGTACAGAATTAGTTGGGCAGGAATGTTCTGAAGTTGGGTTGCCAAAGGAAGCAGTACCAAGCTTCCGACCAATGTCCATATCAAAGGGAAGCTCTCAAACTGCACTACCAGAAGGAAACTTGGACTCTGCTGCCAAGACGTCTTTTAATGTGTCTAATTCAAAAAATGATCGAACAGAATCAAATAGTTCTAGTGAACAGGTAATTTCCTTGAAGACGAATTTCTGTCCCCTTTGGTGAATTAGCTTTACTTTTCCAAAAGTAGAAAGAGCATGCTTATTGTATTGATTCCTGACTTTCTTTATATATTTCGCACAGTCAATGAGTGGATCTAGAAGACAATTGGAGAAAAAGAGAAGCACAGCAGAGAAAACTGTGAGCTTGAGTGTTCTTCAGCAATACTTTTCTGGAAGTCTCAAGGATGCTGCGAAAAGCATTGGTGGTGAGCTCCACGTCATGTATTTACTTATGAAATCAGACTCTAAATATTTAAGCTTTCTGAAAAACTTTTCGTTTGAGTCAAGAAAATGTCATTCCTCCATCTGTCAAGCATTATTGAAATTTTTGTATAGGATCATTTAGCTTCACTAACCAAGCTCTTTTATTCCTGCTATTGGTTGAACTAGTGATGAAGTGTTGGCGGTTACCTTGTGTAACTACTTTTCTCGTCAAAATATCCTTTTGAGACTGGATAATCTTTTTGCCATCTTTTAGAAGATTTTGTAGTTAACCTTTAAATTTCCTTCTTGTGTAGTTTGCCCCACAACGCTGAAGAGAATTTGCAGACAGCATGGAATATCCAGATGGCCATCCCGCAAGATAAATAAGGTGAACCGCTCATTAAGAAAAATACAGACTGTGCTTGACTCTGTTCAGGGGGTGGAAGGAGGGCTGAAATTTGATCCTACCACAGGTGGTTTTGTAGCAGGGTCCTCCATGATTCAAGAATTTGATACTCAAAATGGTTTTGTATTTCAAGAGAAACATCTGCCCAATATAAATAATGAACCAGCTAACCATGGTGTAGTTTCTGTACTTCCGGTTCACTGTACTGATGGCAATAATTATACTGTTAAAGTCGAAGAAGGTGAATGTCGTATAGGTAGCGGGGGATTATTAAAGGAGTCTAGCATTCATGTGATTGATTGTAGTGAAGATTCTAAGTTGGTTGCAATAGATGCTGGATTATGTGAGCAGGCTAGCTTTGGCTCTGGACCTTGGGCTTGTCTCGAAAATGACTCCTCAGGTTCTTTTGCAGAAGCAGGCAGCAAATGGTGCATGAAAAATGGTGGTATTATACCAGAGCACTCGGACTCCCATTTTGTGTCTCAAAGATCAAGCTCCTTAATTGCTGCTGATGAGATGGATGCCAAAATGGAGGGTGATGATGGAAATGTGGAACATAACCAGCCTACTTGTTCAAGCATGACTGACTCATCAAACGACTCTGGTTCAATAATGCATTGCAGTACATCAAGCTCTCCTAGCTTTGAGGAGAGAGAGCATTCAAAAGCGAAACCTAGTTTTGGTGATGGTGATTTAAAAATTACTGTAAAGGCCAGTTACAAAGAAGATTTAGTGCGATTCAAGTTTGATCCATCAGCGGGATGTTTCCAACTGTATGAAGAAATATCAAAGAGGTTCAAATTGCAGACTGGAACATTCCAGCTCAAGTATCTAGATGATGAAGAGGAGTGGGTATTGTTGGTGAGCGACTCTGACTTTCAGGAGTGTCTGGAGATAATGGAATATGTTGGGACTCGTAATGTGAAGTTCCTTGTTCGTGACACGCCTTACGCTATGGGCAGCTCTGGCAGCAGCAACAATGGCTTTTTGGTAGGAAGCTCCTAGCGCATAGGTCATGCGGTACATGGGCAATCTCCGAGTCTAGCTTGTGTTTTTCTTTTTGCCAGAGATATCATGATAATGCTGGTCCAGCAATGGAATTTGAAATGGGGAGTATGAACTTGCTATAACTCATCTGCTTGAAAATGGTAGTATGAACTTGCCATAAATCATCTGCTCGTCTTTCTTGCGAAGCATCTGCAGATGCTCCGTTCTTTGGCCTCAAATCACCACTGGACTTCCAACATGTACAACTGAACAGTCCCAGGGCACAAATTTCTCTATTATGATTGGTTGTCAGAATTCCGGAACAGAACGAGGGGGGAAAAGATTAGGAAAAAGAAGAGAGATATATGATTTTGTATGTTATAGTTGATGTTAATGTACAGTACTGTATATGCTAGAAGTGGCAAAAGAGGTTGTAGTTGTGGAAACAATTGGGGCACTGTATTCTAATGTACCGCAGTGTCCTTAAATCTAGATTGTACAGGGCTTTAAATATCAATATGAGAAAATGGAAAATGTTAAAAGTTTGAAGATGTTTCTTTTCTACTTTGTCTGTCAAACTTACCTTGTTTGTTAGCATTTTGAAGGAGCATGACATGACAGCATCAGACGATAAATAAGCACGCATGCACAAACCTGCAATCTTCATCATACTTCATAGGTGCATAAACCAAGCAAGAACATCAACAAGATCTATCAGCAAGATGTATGAAACTTTTTGAGCTGAACGTGAAAATTTTTTTATTATTTTTTGTGAATTTGGATATAATTTAATGTGTATTTCTTCTCAAAATGAATTTATAGAATAACTACTGTAATTTCATTAATTACTTTTTATGTATTATAAAATTTTTCGATAATTAAAGAATATGCTATCGATTTTCGTTCGTTTTCATAGCTTTGGAGTATGATTTGATAAACCTTAAAATATAATAAATGAATTTTTATTTGGAAAAAAAAAACCTTGAAATACTTAAAGATTCAAACTTTGAGAGAGTCAATCCAATCATTAAGGTATATACTCCTAATATGATCATCTCAAGTAAAACTCTTATGAATTCCTACAATGTTTTCTCCGAGATGACGACCGAGGGACAAGGGAATAAGAATTTCCATAGGAGTGACTGCTCCAGTTTTCCCTCTCAAACGACAAGTCGGTTACCAAATAAGTCATTTAGGACAGGGAAAATCCATGTCAGCAATACAAACAGCTACAAACATGCCACAACTGGATCCTGCTAAGCACAGATAGGGTAATAATGACGATCACAACATAATTAAAAAGTAAAAAATAAAAATAAAAACGAGACTTTAATTCCTAGTTTTGCAATAGCTCTTTGCTGGGTCTTTGCAATAACTGATGTCTTTTCTCTGCAACTCACATGGCATCCAATCCACGGCCATCAGGTTTGTCTCTTAAAAAAAAAAAATCCCATCTTTTTATTCTCTTTATTAATTTTACTTTTTGTGTCCATATTTATTTGTATTTTGAGATGATCTTTTTAGTTGAAGTGAAAGAGGACGGATTTATGGGTTTTGTGTATTATTAATCAAGAGATCACGGGGGCTTTTTTCAAGTTCCAAAGATGGGATCTTTATGGTTTTTTGTTTTTTTTTTTTTTTTTTTTAATTTATAGTATTAGGGGTTTTTAAAGTTGGGTTGTGTATGGTTGGTGAGAAAAATGTAAAGGGAAAAGAAATTTTATAAAGGAAATGTGGGTTTAGTGTTTGTCAACAATTAAGGTCTTTTTATGAAAGTTGTGAACTTTTTTTTTTCAATGGGATTTCTGTCTTTGATAAAGAAATATAATTTCTTCAAATTTGTGTTAGGATTGTGAGTTGCACTTGTGAAAGCCAAAAGGTTCTTATTTGTGGAGTCAATAGAAGTTAAGAGTTGTAATCATGTAGAAATTTGTTCTGATTCTAAGCTGTGTTTGAGGTCTTTTTTTGGAAGATGCTTCGGAAAAATGATGCTTAGCTTTTTATATGCCTAAAAGTTTCTTCTTTTTCATTGTTGCATAGACTTGCGATAAATTTCATTTTCTTACCTCCTTTTTTGCATCTTTTTCGAGTCTCTCAACTTGCTGTAATATATTTTGCAAACTGTTTGTTATGCTGAAAAATGTCTTTCCTTGAGCTGAACTGATCTGCCAAGATGCTTTTTCCTAGCAATGTAAAAATCATGCCACTTATCTTCTCTACGTACAATCTTTTTGGCCTTTTAGGTTCATTTTAATTTTTATTTGCTTCATCTTGTGAGATGTCTGTAATATATTTATGTGGTTGGACGTTGCAGATAACAATCCTCCTCTGAAACCTTGGGAGCGAGCTGGTGGTTCTTCTGGTGCTACACCTTTTAAACCACCATCAGCTGGCAGCACAAGTGATGTCGTTGACGCTTCAGGAACTGCAAGACCCGGAGAAATTGTTCAAAGTTCGGGCAATACCACAAACAACATAAATGCTGTTGGTAGGCCTGTTCCTTCAAGACCTTGGGAGCAGAACTATAGCACGAGCAACTATGGAGGTGAGTAATGATTTTTATTAGCAATTTGAAGTTTTGCCTTATTCTGATGGTTGAATCTTTTTTAACCTTTCTTCTCCTAACGTATTTCAGGTTATAATTCCACTCTGAACTATAATTCTGGATATGGCTCAGGAATGTATGGTTCATCATACGGTGGGATTGGAGGATCATATGGTGGGGTTGGAGGATCATATGGTGGAGGTATGTATGGAAACAACATGTATCGAGGAGGGTATGGTGGACTTTATGGTTCTGGGATGTATGGCGGTGGAATGTACAATAGTGGTTTAGGAGGCACAATGGGTGGTTATGGAATGGGCATGGGTGGTCCTTATGGAGCTCAAGACCCTAATAATCCATTTGGCGAACCTCCATCCCCACCAGGGTTTTGGATTTCATTTCTTCGAGTGGTAAGGCATGGTTTTCTTTTGACTAGTTGCATATACTGTTTTGAGAAATGTTGGAAGTATAAGTGTATTTTATTAATAGACATGGCCTAATTAAAGTTTTAGCAAAATCTCATGTGGTCGGATAAGACCAGAGGTCACTTCAAATTAGATATACCCAATAGCCCAATGGATATGACTTGCCAGAAAATTATTTCATTTGATCTGCGTTTTACTTGGTTGCATCAATACAGGAAGAATTTTACCTTGCAAATTGCCACCATGTAATTAGTTAGTTGCTCAGGTACATATGTGATTAGTTTAGTTGCATTCTTATTCTTCTCTGGAAATTCACCATTTTCTCTGTGACGACAGCTGCAAGGCGTGGTGAACTTTTTTGGCCGCCTATCGATTCTCATTGACCAGAACACACAGGCTTTTCACATGTTCATGACTGCACTTCTTCAGGTATTCTGACAGCGTTTTTCCTTGCATCTTGTTATTTTCTGGATAAGTGATTGTCAAATCAAATGTTTTCTCATTTCAGCCTCTCTACACTTAGGCTTCTTTCCTTTCGTCATAATGTGATTATGCATGATCAAACCTATGCCAATCCAACTTTATAGTATTAACCAGTTCTCGTTAATTTAAGCTGCCTACTGCAAAGGTGTTAATGTTATGGTGACGACAATCACTTTGTGGAATAGATTACACTTAGAAGCAATTTCTTCCATGTTTGTGAATGGATGCATATTTTTAATTCCCATTTTATATTAAGAGTGGGATGTGGCTAGATGGCTTCTATCTTAGTGTTTCATAGCATATTGCCTTCTTTAAGTTGAAGTTTCTGGACGACCATTTTTCAAAGTCCTTTGAACTGTAGCTTAAAGGAACACCTGTCGTCTGTGGTCCAAATCATAGCTTAGTTAATTATTGTTTTTATGACAGCTTTTCGATCGCTCTGGTATGTTGTATGGAGAGTTGGCTAGATTTGTATTGAGGCTGCTAGGGATCAAAACAAAGCCCAGAAAGGTCAACCCACAGGGTCCTAATGGACATCCTCATCCAGGGCTAGAAGGTACCGGCGCAAACCCACTCTACATAGAAGGACCAAAGCCTGCTCCAAGTGGTTCTTGGGACAATGTTTGGGCAAATGATGCTGGCAAATGATGCAGTAGTGTTTCTCTTATGGAGTGAATCTGAATTTCATCCTCGATGGGAAAGAAACAATCTATTTGTTGTAATCCTCAGCAACATGGACTGAACATGAACTTTCAGTGTCAAATTAAATGTAACTCTGGTAGCTATGCAAAATCAGATCGTATTTCTTCTACTTTAATATTAAGAACATAATTCTTGGTGTGCTATAAAAACTGGGTTTGAAAGTTGCATTGAACTGTTAAGAGTCTCCCATCAATTTGTGGACCTGAGTAGAAAGGTAAGCATCTAAATTTGATGGGGTAAAATAGCGCCACAACAGAAGTTTTTGTTGCCAGTGTTGGTTAATGGCAAGTTAAAAAATCTGACTGACCTTATAATGCTAAATAATGCTACAAAATAGAGCTTTTGAAAATTGGCGTTTTTATCATTTAGAATCTTTCCGGCTTCCACAGGTGTTTATAGAGCTTTAAGAATCAAATTGAAAAAAAAGAAAAAGAAAAAAAGGGAAGACGCAAAACGAATAGAATAGTTCTTTCTCATAACTTGACTGCACTGTTCATTACATTCATCTGGAGAGGCAAAATTTTGGCTGTCCCAGATCATGAACAGCAAATGGTTGTTACATCTTGTGAAATTATACTTGTAGCATCTTCACTGAACTCTGGTCGAAATTGACGAGATAGTTTCTCTAAGTAAGCTTGTCCAGAATTCCTTACTGTATAATGACCTCAAAAAAACAAATGGCTGTTAGAATCATGCGATTAAACTCTCCCACTGTATAATGACCAGTCCAAATCGACGAGGGTGTTACCCATCTTTGTTGGTCCAGTCCAAATTTTCATCCTCAGCAGTTCACACCTCATTGCTGAACATGGTGAAGCATGAAGAAAATCTTAGAATTGCAAGCTTGACTGACAAAACACAAGCTGCTAGTTTCAAGTTTTTCTGGAAATACTCTGAAAGTTTCCACCAAAGTCTCGGGAGAGTTCTGTTATGTGCCCATCAACTCTTTTAACCTTTTGCTCTCACTGCAGTCATAAGATCCCAAATATTAATGCTATTGGTGAAAAAGATGTTCTGGATACATCATTGTTCATTGTCTGTAACTCTGTTATATCTTCCTAGTATTGCATTTCTTAACATTATTTAAGCCAGTAAAGTAAAAACCCTCAGTTCCACTCTATAACAACTCATAAGATCGCATCACTGACCAAGTGAAGCCAAGTTATCAGAATTTCATCAAGACAGTTAGAGATGAGCAGCATCAAAATTATTCATCAAGTGATAAAAAACGAAAAGCCAATTCTATTGTTCAGCACAATTCAGAGAAGAAGCTACATACCTCTTCGGGAGGGAAGGTAGCAACTCTTCAAAAACTTGAGCAATGTCTGAACCAGCCACATTTTGCTCAGAAGAAATCTTTTTTCTTCTGCAAATACACATGAAAATGGAAGACCTGATCAATTATATTCCTGCCATAAGCAACATGGGTTCATAAATATTGGAGAGCAATTCCTCGAATTAATAGGTTTACCGAGTCATTATTAATTTCTTGTGAGAAAAAGAAAGAGAGAAAAAAGCAGGACAAGTTATCCAGATCCCAAAAAAGATGAATTAGATAAATATTGGAAAAACATTCCATAGCAGATCATATCCTCTAGGAGTTTGGGCTTCGAAAGCAGACAAAAAAATGGTTACTAATATTCAACTAGTATCCCAATGGAATTGGGATTACTTAGTATGCAGATAAACATAAAAACCTATAAATAAACATGTCAAGTGAGTTGCCAAATCATTGATATCTGAAGCGAGAATAATTCAGTCTCTCTTTTCCAACTCCAGGAAAAAGCATGATTAAATGAGAGAAACAAAGGCTTGACTCACAAACTTGGCTCCTTAGAACAAAATTGATTTAAACTCCTAATAACATGAAAGATACCACGTGTTTTCTAAGAGTTCTATCATTTGTGTCAGTTCATTTCCAATACTGATAAAAGTTGACCACAGTGACAGCAAAAATAACACAATCTTTATGTTCTATTTTCTGTAGTTAGCGGGTCATGTATATTTGTGAAAAAAAAAAAAAAAAAGAGAAAAGAGAAAGAAACAATAAAGAAAAACACTCTCAGTACCTTGATTTTCTTTGCTTGACTTATCACCTCTGAGATATGAAATATCCGCAGTACGTAAACCTAAGCCTTCTTTCCATGCCAGCCCCTCCATTATGTAACCAATGAGATTGTAGGCAACCACACTCGTCTCGTCACAGACTTCTTGGATGCCAAGGTATAGGTTGCCACTTATGTTTTGCTGGTTTGGCATAAATTTCGCCCCTTTCATGTAGAAGGTAGAAGGTAGTACTTCCAGAGAGTTTCCTGGATCACTTGCAGTATCCCTTTCAGGTTCATTTCTCCTCCTTGTAGAATGGCTATTTGTACTTCCATTTGGAGAATGGTGGAGAGAAAAGCCATCTACATTATGCATGCCATTACGATATCTTGTTTCATGGAACAGAGTAGGATCGCAACTTGTCTCAGGGTTTGAGATAGGTGGTGAGGAGTCCATTGGTATATACTCCCCACAACTCTCTTCTGGGTAATTCAAACCAATTGAATATGATTTACCACTTTGAGGCTTTCTGAGTTCCATATGCTGATGATCATCATCACCACCAGCAACAGTGAGATGATCAGAGACATAATCGTCATCATCTCCACTATCGCTTTCTTCTAATTCTTCCACATAAGCATCAGTAAAATCCTTGTCAAATTCATGTTCAGGAAAAACATCCCAAACCATCTGCTTTATCTCAGAACTTAAACCTAAAATGCATTCCACCTCTTCTTCAATTTGCTCCTTTGGGTAGAATCCAATCCGGGTTTGGCAAGAACTCCTGTTGATAATAGCAAGAGCTTCTGTTAAAGGCTTAGGGATGATATGAAACTCACTGCACTCAAAAAGATATTCAGTTAACAATTTAGTCATTGCTGTTCGCAGACTTCCTTTTGGTACATCAGCCTTTGGATCCAGCAGAAGCTGCAAGGTGTGCACCTCTGGTATTTTAAGCTTCTTCATTCCTAGTAACCGTATAGCCTTTGATATCTCATCCTGCAAGGCTTTTATTTCTGGCGAGAATTGATTGAAGTCTGCCACAGACGAATTTAGAGAGCCTGTTGTTAGCTTTAGAGATAAACCTGCCATTGCAAGTGATTTGGCTAGTGGTGCCTGCAGCTCATCGCCTCGACCAAGTTCTGAAAGCATTTTTTCACTAGTCTTCCTTACATAATCAATCAACCTATCTCGAGAGCGATTATATTTCTTTTTCTGTATATAGGGAATGCTTGCTGGGGTATTACTAAGTTTTCTTCGCATAGCAAGCAGGGCTTCAGTCGGCAAGTCCTCTAGTCCGTCCAGTACTTGAAGAGCAGCAGAATGGTGAGATTGAAATGTGGGATTCAGCAACATCAAACAATTCTCACGAAAATATTGCGGGCTATTGATTAGTTGATCTAGCAGCATCAAAATTTCTGTTTGGTCATGATTGCAACTTTGATCCCTAAGAAATCCTGCTTGTTTAATCGCCTCTTTCATTTTCTTACAAGTAGTTTTAAATTTGACTGAGCCTCCAGCAAGTAACATAGCAATAAGGTAAAGCCCCTTATTGTTCAAAGCATCCAAGCGTGATAAAAGCATTCTTTTCATCTTGGTTCTGTCAAACAATTGTTTAGAGTCTTGAAAATTATGATCCTCTCTTTCAGCATTACGTGCTCCATAAGCTTCTTGAACATACTCTTTTACATTCTCATAGAATATCTGGGGAACAACAGGTGCAACAAATAAATGTCAAACTGCAGAATGCATAGCAACCCACACAAGCAAGAAGGAAACACATATTCATGCTTAAGGGTTCATGGATAAGATATATCTCATCTATAATTACAATAAACATTGTCACCTTTTAAAAACATCTTCAAGTCCTTTTTTTTTGGGTTAATTAATAAGACCAAACCAGATGCAATTCATCATTTTCCTTCATGCCTCCTTTCCATTCACATGGAAACCATGAAACCAAGAAATTCTACGAAACACCACGAAATGCTACACAAATACAACAAGACTAAAATGTATAAACTACAATCACCCTAACTTAAACACTAACTATCTCCCAATAAAACTAAAACTACTCGTTGATATGATTACCCTGAATTAAACACTAAATATTTCCCAATAAAACTAAAAACCTACTTCTAATTACTGATTAATGATATGATCACCCTGACTTCAACACTAAATAATTCCCAATAAAACAAAAACCCAGTTGTAATTCAACTTACATCATCATCCCTTTGCAAAGATTCAGGTACAAACCTAGAAACACTACAAAAACACCACAAATTATTACTATAATTATCATAATCAAAATAATAAAAAGTGACAAAAATTATTTAAAAAAGAAAAAAAAATCCCAACTTACACATATTTATGAAACTTCTTGTTTTCAGGTTTTGACAAAGGCAGTCCTAATAACCACCTGCATATCATAAGACCCAGTTTGGTTAGTAGATTCAAAAGTTGAAAAAGTTTTGATCTTTGAAGCTGAATCGGAAGCAAACTGACCTCCTTTTAAGCTTAAGAATCTTCTCTTTGTGTTTTTCATGTGCAACTATAGCTTCCCAATCTGTTCGATAAAGCCCTAATTTGGCTTCCATTGATTTTGAAATTAGGGTTTTTGATTTTGCTGTTTTACGACAAGGTGGCGTTCAGAGACAGAATCTGCGAATAACGGATACTTCTTCTCTTCCTATCTTAATAAGTATTTATTTAAAAAATAAAAAAATAGACAATTTTTTTTAGCATGAAATCTATTTTAATTTTAAAATAAAATATGCATTAATAAAATATTATTTTTACATAAAAAAATAAATAATCATGTTTTAAAAATACATTAGTAATAATATCATATTAAATATTAAACTCATTTTAATATTGACTTAATAAAAAATAAAATTAATCTGGATTAATGTAAAAATTAATAAAAAAAATATTTTTATCCATTAACTTAATTTAAGATAAAAAGAAAAAAAGAAAGGAAGAAAAAGAAAATGTCTTTGATGACATAGAATTATTGAACTGGGCTGCATTAGGGCTTGTTATTAAGAATTATACATGAACCACAGGATTCTGCTTCCATCTTGAGCCCAGGACCAGATCCAGTGGGAGCCCATGTCTACTGGGCCTAAAAATCTCAATGCATAAACCGTTTTTATTCATTAACAAATTTTTTGAACAAATTATATCCTTCTTTATTATTTATTATGTCTGATGGTCAGAATTTTTTATCATTAACTAAAATATTTAAAATAATTCGTTTTAATAATTTTAGTTTATTTTATACTTAGTTTTTTTGAAAAAAATTATTTAATAATTGTAAAAAAAAAAAAGAAGTTGGGCCTAAATGGATGAAAGCTATCAAGTTTTTTTTTATATATAATTATTAAATATTTTTTCAAAAATAATTTTAAGTATAAAATAAAAACCGAAATGCTTCAAATGATATTTTATTTTATTTTTTGACACTTAAAGTTTTTTTTTAAGTATAATTTCTTTCATTATTGCTCTTATCAATTTGAATTGTGTTAACTCTTCGCTTCACCTAATTGGCTTCGTGATATCTTAATAATATGATCTTGGCTTATCAGAAAAAAATAAAAAATTGTTTGATAATAAATGTTTTTTTTTTCGAGTCAGCTTTTATGTAAATTGAGATTAATTTTTTTTTTTCCCAAACAATCTTAAAAACTTAACCTCCTCGTCGTTTTAGTGCATTAAGAAGAATTTAAGATACTTGTCCTAAGACTGGAACCAAGAAGTTAAGGAAGAGAGTAAACTTTTTTAACCATAAGGTCAATCCGTTGAAATTTTTGTCCAACATGACGAGGAAGTAGTTCAGTTCGTTAACTTATCCTTGAACTAGAAACAATTAACTTCTTATTAATTAGAGAAAAAGTAGTAAAAGAGAATGGACTTCTAGGTGTTTAAAAAGGAGGAAGAAAGAGTCCAGCTATTAAGGTATTCTATTGCTTTATCATGTATGCTTGTCTGTATTGATTATCTTGTTGAGGAAGTTTACCTTAAATTTGCAACATTGATTTGCTTTATTATATATATAATACGGATAGCGAGATATTTTTGAACTAAATTAGTGTCAATACGTTTAAATTTTGATCGATTATTAGATAGTTTTTAAGATTAAATTAGTTCAAATCTAATACTATTAAAGAATCAATAATTATGATTAGTTATCTATGAATAATATAAAACAAATTTTAGTTTTGTTCGAGTCAAAATAACTCTTAAGTTTACCATTGGATCATATTTTTTATAGTTATTAAAATCAATTGTTAATGGGACCAATCCTAAAGAGATGGCTTGTTGGTGGTTTAGAAAATTTGAAAAAATATATATTTCTAATTTTTTAATAAAAAATTTTGTATTTAATTATTTCTTATTTGTGTTTTTCATAATTTTTTCTTTAGGAAAATCCTTGTTAATACATGGATTATTAACTAAAAAAGAAAATTAAATAATTTTTTTAAAAAAACTTTAGTATTTCATAAGATTGTGTAGAAATATGACAATAGGGCAATATGTTTTGCAATATGTTTTCTCTATTGAAGTCACAAGTACAACATGTATATATACAAGTTTAGGATCAGTCTAAATCCCTAGAATCAAGATGTCATTAACTTCCTAGAAATCAATCATATAATTAACTTACTATATTTACATGAAAATCAATCCTATAGTGGACTTACAATATTTACAACACTCTCCCTCAAGCTAAAGCATACATGTTAATCATACCCGACTTGTTACAAATATAATCAATCCTAGGACCCTCTAAAGCTAAGATATCACCTAGTTAATTTCATATATTTTTATAGATTCATAACATAAAGCAAACTATCAAAATAAAATGATTTTATATATTTTATCCAATGCTTAGTATAACGCGGGCAAATAATTAGTAAGTTCTATTAAAAGTATATTCAATAAATTCTAAAGCGAGGGATATTGACGAGAAGGAGAATAAACATACATACATACGTGTGTGTGTGTGTGTGTATATATATATATATATATATATATATATATATATAAACTTAACTTAATTGAAAAATATTATTATATATCTTGAAGTCTAAAGTAGTCGAAAATTGTAGTTTTTTTTTTTAATTACATTTTAAGCTAATCTTAAATTCCATTTTGTAACTTACAAGTGATTAAAAGCAATATATCCCTCACTTTATGATCATAATTATACAAGAGGTAAAAAAGAAAAAAAAAATCATATGCGAATAACAATATGCTATTATCGAATGACCCAAAAAAATAAAAAATAAAAAATTCCGACCACAGCCGCAGGAATAACAATATGCTATTATCGAATGCACGCTATTTTCCATTGCTTTTGATCTTTGTTTTCTAATCTAATTTCATTCTTTAGAGCATTCAGCCCATCTTGTAGATAAAAAAGGCCTTCTGCCATACTCCGCAACCACAGCCACAGGAATGGAACCCTCCGCAACCAGATAGGACGCGGTCGTATGGTCTTTCAAATTCAGCAGACAAGTGGGTCCCACAAAACCAATAGAATTTTTTCCCTTTACCAGCTTGGGAGTGGGACCCACCCTCAAAATCCAATCCTAGGAATTCACTATAGTCAATCATGAAGGTAGCCCAGCGCATTTTCCTTGATCCTGCAAAACAAAACAGGAACTATTTACTTTTATTCTTTCAACGGCTGAGATCAAAAGGTTCCCAACGAAAAGTCCAAAGAGGCAGCGGCTTTTAAAAGCGACTCTTTTCCCTTTAAAATCAGTCTCATTCCCTACTTCTTCTCCTTTCTCTGCAATTCATTTGCTTCTGCTTTGCAGTTTCCACTAGTTTTCTTTCACACGCCCTTTCGCACCTTTTGCAACGTGTAACGATGACTAAAATGGAATGATTAAATTAATGATATGATAAATTATTATTGGTTAATGTTTATTATGTATATTTACATACTATATTGAGATTTGAAATAATATCAATATATAAATAGAATTTTTAAATTAAATAGAAAAAAATTAAGAATATCAATAAAAAAAATTGAATTATACGAAGTCTTGGTATATGTAAAACCTGTTATTTAATGGTTTCAATGTTATTTTTCTATCACATTTTTTTTTAATAGAATTAATAAATTTTGTTAAATGTTTAGCACATAAAAAATTTTAATTAATTAAAATTGATCTACAAATGAAAAAAAGAAGGATGCGCAAATCTGGACTGTGTTCACGCAAAGGAATAATCGGTCTATAAATATTCTAATTCATCAAAAGTTCAATGATAGAGTTCGAATTCGATGTCATAGATTGAATGATTTTTTTCTTTACAACCTATTTAGATTTGCTAGATGTAAACTTTTTTGATGGGTTGTTAGTAGGGATGACAATCGAGCGAGACGGGGACGGGCTCAAAAAATTTATCCCATCTCCATCGTGTATCTTGTTCGAGACGAAATTTTGGTTAATATCCTCATCCCAAACGGGATGAGACAGAGCAAGCATCTCATTAAATTGTCATTTTTAAAAGCCAAATGACGAGGCGGGGTGGGGATAGCCATCCCCATCTCCGCTTCGCCTCGATCTAAAAGAATTTGTCTCGTTCTCGTTCCGTGCCTCATTTGGGACGAAATTTTGACTACCATTCTCATCCTAAATTGGGCGAGATGGCAATGGAGCGAGGTAAATTGCCATCTCTGGATGTTAGATGAAGATATTTTTTTAAGAGGATTTTAGGTAATTATCCCAATTTTTTTTTAAATCCTCATACTACTATGTAATACGAATCATAATACTTTTGATCAACCAATAATTTCACCCAAAAAAAAAAAAAAAATGAAAGGGAAAATGCCAAGCTGAAAGCACCTGCAAACCAATTTCCACGACATGAATATAATATTATCTAATCCTGTTAGGAAGCCGGCTTCCATTAATTTTCTTTGGAGTCTTCTTTCATTCTTCTTTGCAACTCATTTGCTTCTGCTTTCTACTAAATTTTCTGTCTCACAGTACTCTCATCCCTTTGCAAACATCTACATCATGGCTCTGGCTTTGATAGGACAATCACTTCTCACTGTTGTCATTGAGGTTTTGGTCGAGAGGTTGGCTTCTCCGGAGGTTCTGAACTTCTTCAAAACCCAGAAACTCAATGATGGTCTTCTTGAGAAGTTGAAAGAAATGCTGAATACTGTCAACGGACTGCTCGAAGATGCGGAGGAGAAGCAGATTACAAAGCCTGCTGTGAAGAACTGGCTGAATGATGTTAAACATGCTGTCTACGAAGCTGAAGACATTCTGGAGGAGATTGATTATGAACATCAACGATACAAGGACGAAGCTGCCTCTCAACCTGCCACAAGTTTAGGTTTAACTCAGGTAATATAAGCTTAAGTTTTTAAAATAGTTGTTTTGAATATCCCTCTAAATTTTGAACTTTAATATGCATTTTCTTCTCTTTGAATGGGTTTACGCTTTATTTTTCTTGTCAAATGAGTTTTAATTAATAGCTTTGTGTGTTTTATACTCCATCCCTTCAATCCTATGGCATGTGTTCTTTATACATGTCATGAAATGTATTCTAATCTGTTTATAATTAATTTTGTAATTTTGAAAAAATAGTAAGAATTAATGAATAATTTTGCAATTCTAGTTCTTTGCACTTTGAATTTTCTTTTCAACAAAAATTGGGTAAAGTATGATTTGGTCTAGAAGTTAAATTATAGTGTTTTTATGTATTCGTATGATCATATCCATATATATCGAACGTTTTGGATTTAGATTTAATTTATAATATTTAATGTAGTCCTATGATATCCATATTCGGGTAAAATCTTACGTGAATACTTGCTAATATATCCTCATAAGCAGTGCCCTTAATCTTGTCTCTTCTAAAAAATTATTTCATGTTCCGCCATTGCAGGTGAGGAAATTCCTTCCATTTCTTAATCCAGCTAACAAAAGGATGAAAGAAATGGAAGCAGAGTTGGAGAAGATTTTTGAGAGGCTTGAACGTTTAGTTAAACACAAGGGTGATCTGCGCCACATAGAAGGTCCTACTGGAGGGAGACCATTGCCCGAGAAAACAACTCCTCTGGTTAATGAATCTCATGTTTATGGCAGGGAAGCTGATAAGGAAGCCATAATGGAGTTGTTGACACGGAAGGAAGAAAATGGCCCAAATGTTGTTGTGATTCCTATCGTTGGAATGGGTGGAATTGGCAAGACCACTCTTGCTCAGCTCATCTACAAGGACAAAAAAGTAGAGGAGTGCTTCCAACTCAAAGCCTGGGTCTGGGCTTCTGAACGGTTTGATGTTACAAGAGTAGTGGATGACATTCTTAAAAAGATCAACGCAAGCACTAGTACCAACAAAGAACCAGATGAATCTCTGAAGGATGCATTGAAGGAGAAAACATTTTTGCTTGTGCTAGATGATGTGTGGAACATCGAGTACAATGAATGGGACAAATTACTGCTCCCTCTGCAGTATACAAAGCAAGTAAAGATTATTGTAACAACTCGGGACGAAGGTGTGGTGAAAGTCATGCAAACTGTTGTTCCTTCTTATCTGTTGAAGGGAATAAGTGATGAAGATTGCTGGCAGTTGTTTGCAAGGCATGCATTTAGCGGTATGAATTCCGATGTACTCTTACACTTGCAAGAATTTGGCAGAGAAATAGTGGGAAAGTGCAAAGGTCTACCTCTGGCGGTGAAAACTCTTGGGGGTCTTTTGCGCTCTGAAGGAGACGCCAAGGAATGGGAGAAGATATCGAAGAGTAGTATGTGGGGTTTGTCGAACGAAAACATCCCTCCGGCTCTGAGATTGAGCTATTATTATCTTCCATCCCATCTAAAAAGATGTTTTGCTTATTGTGCAATTTTTCCTAAGGGTTATGAATTCCGAAAAGAGGAATTAATCCCTTTCTGGATGGCAGAGGGTTTTCTAATCCCGTCAAGAGGTGATGAGATGGAAGAAAGAGGCGAAAGATACTTTAATGAACTTGTCTCTAGGTCATTTTTCCAGCTGTCAAGTAAGTATGATTCATCCCTCTTCAGCATGCATGATCTCATAATCGATTTAGCTGAATACGTGTCTGGAGAATTTTGCTTTAAGTTTGTGGTGCATGGAGAATCGAGCTTTGCGACAGAGGATGAAAATTCATGCATGCTTCCTGGAAGGACTCGTTATTTGTCATTTACTTCGAGACATAATCATGTCTCAAAGGTATTTGAGCGCATTCATGAAGTCCAACATCTGCGCACCTTTTTGTCTCTATCAAACTGGTTGAAACATCCTTCTATGAATATGGTATTACATGACATATTCACAACTCTAAAACGCTTGCGAATGCTATCTTTGTCCGTGCGTAATATAGACTTGTTGCCCAATTCAATCTGCAACTTGAAACATTTGCGACATCTAGACCTTTCATTTACATCCATAGAAAGGCTACCTGAAAATGTGAGCACTTTGTACAATTTGCAAACATTAATCTTGGAAGGGTGTCCCAATCTCATAGAGTTGCCAACCAACATGTCCAAATTGGTCAACTTACAACATCTTCATCTACAAAGGACACAACTGAAAGCGATGCCACCAAAAATGGGAGAACTCAAAAAACTTCGGAGGTTGACAGATTTCTTTTTGGGGAAACAGAATGGGTCTAGCATCAAAGAATTGGGAAAGCTCTTTCATTTACGAAATAGCCTCTCTATTTGGAATCTCCAGAATGTTACTGGTGTTCAAGATGCTTTGGATACTAATTTGAAGGGTAAGGAACAGCTTGAGCAGTTGTGTTGAAATGGGACGGCGAAACGGATGATACACAGCATGAGAGGGACGTACTTGCGAAATTGGAACCTTCTATAAATTTGAAAAGACTTTACATTATTGGTTTTGGGGGTACAAAATTTCCAAATTGGGTTGGAAACTCTTCTTTCTCAAATATGGTGTCGTTGACCCTTACTGGATGTAAAAACTGCACCTCCTTACCACCACTTGGGCAGCTGCCATCTCTTGAAAAGCTATGCATCGAAGGATTTATTGAAGTTGTGGTTGTTGGTTTGGAGTTCTATGGAAGTGAGCCATGGATAGAGAAGCCGTTTAAATCCCTCAAAAAATTAAGCTTTCTGAAAATGCCGCAATGGAAAGAATGGAATGCAGATGTAGCTGGCGCTTTCCCTGTTCTTGAAGATCTTCAAATGTATGCATGTCCAGAGCTTGTGGTTTCGTTTCCAGCGGCTCCCAAGCTTACCCAATTTAATTTAAATAACCGTTTTTATACACATGAATTATATCCTTCCGGGAAGTGGCGTCTTGTGGTTCTAGAAGGTTACCTGCTGAAGGGCATTAAGCGAGCTAGTGGTGTTTTCTCTTCTATCACTGAGGTTGAATTCCGTGGATGTAGTTCGCTCAAGAGCTGTCAGCTAGACTTTTTGCCCCACTTTTCTAAATTTACAATCCGACGCTGTCTAGATCTTGAATCCATTTGCATACGTGAGGGACCTCTTCTATCTCTCCAACATTTGATAGTCAGAGATTGTCCTAATCTGAAGTCGCTGCCAGAAAACATGCATTTCCTCCTCCCTTCCCTTCAGCAATTGGAATTGAGCTGGCTTCCACAATTGGAGTCCTTCCTTGAGGAGGCACTGCTGCTGCCCTCTACTCTTACATACCTCGAATTCAACTATCTGATAAATCTGAAATCTCTGGACTACAAGGAGCTTCAGGCCTTCAGCAACTCACTTCTCTTGGCAATCTAATGATACGTCATTGTCCTAAGCTTGAGTTCATCCCAGAAAAGTCGCTGCCATCCTCCATTGAACACCTTGAAATCGTGAAGTTGAAAGATCTGGACTACAAGGGGCTACAACACCTAACCTCTCTTCGTCAATTGCAGATCTGTTGTACTAAGCTTCAGAACATCCCCGAAGAGTCGCTACCCTCCTCCCTCGAAGACCTTGAAATCTGGAGTCTGAAAGATCTGGACTGCAAGGGGCTTCAACATCTCACCTCTCTTCGCCAATTGAAGATTTCGGGATGTCCGAATCTTGAGTCACTGCCAGAAGAGGGGCTGCCTTCCTCCCTCCAATACCTTGAAATCTGGGGTCTGGAAAATCTGAAATCTCTGAATTACAAGGGGCTTCAGCACCTCAAATCTATTCGCTCTTTGCTGATCATTGGATGTCCTAAGCTAGAGTCCATGCCAGAACAGGGGCTGCCCTCCTCCCTTGAACTTCTTCAAATCATCGATTGTCCTTCGCTGGAAAAAAGGTGTGAAAGGGAGACGGGGGAAGATTGGCCCAAGATTTCTCACATCCCCGATATATCCATAGGCTTCTAATGCTTAGGTATTTACCAATTTCTCAGCCTTGCATCTGTGGTTTTATAAATTCCTTTTGAGATTCCTTGTATCATTACAAATGGCTAGTTGTAGACATTGTATTTTAACAAAAACAAGTTCAATATTGTCATATAATTATGTTGTTGATCTTTTTGCTACATACTAATATGCCTCGTGTTGATTTGGAGTCATAAGTCTAATTTGTCACTATTTTGCATTCTTACCATTACTGGATTCCTTTGAGAATATAAATTTTCGGATGCTCATGTTTGCTGTTGTATGATTTATCTCAGGGTTTCATCTCCTTCTGCTAGGCTGCCAAAGCTGTTCAAGCTCAACAAACCATAAAAAACAACAGCCAAAATCTACAAGTTTATCTGATAGGTTCTCTAACCTCTTCTTTGTTTCTAAATGCAAAATTATTTTCCATTGAAAATGCTTTTGTTTTATAGTGTTTTTGAGCTGTAATGCCTTCTTAGACTTATAATCAGATCATTCATTAATCATCCTGCTTCAGATTCCCGACATCAAATAAAGAAGTATAATTGACATTCACCAACGTCATTTGGGCAGAAGTAAAGGTATTTGGTTAATTTACATATTCATTGCAAAAGAGACATCGGCATATATGCTTCATGCTACTTTGCAACATTCTTAAATACTCTCATTTGTACTACAGAGAGAATTGCTTTCCATTTGCTTGACCTTGCCAGATTTTTTTTTAAGAATATAAAATTTTCACATGCTCAAGTTCTCTCTTGAATAACCCATCTCGTCAGGTTTTGGTCTGCTTCAAGCAGGGTGCAAAAGCTGTTCAACCCGTACCAAAAATATTGGAGTCAAAACTTGTACAGGTAGTCATATTGCACCTATCTTTATATTCTTATTATTTCCCCTTTCTTTATGCCATGTCAAATTTGATAGGTTCTCTACCTCTTCTGTTTCTTAATGCAGTTTCCTCAGAATTCAAGAGGAATAGTTTTGCAAATGCAAATGACTCGAGAAATGATGCGTACCATGTTTGATGGTAGTTCAGAGACAGAGATTGAATTGGATTCATGGTTCTTTTGAAGAAAGTTCAAAATCAGTAGAAAAATATATCCCAGAACTTGGAGTATTAATTGTTATTCCTTGACTACAGCAGAGGTTGATCCACTCCTCAGAAATGCGATGGCAGATCATCACTGCACAGCCCATTACTACGTTTTGGTTCAGTTAAGGTTTGCGACGATTTTTTCAACAAAGATGGCGTAAGTGAATCCCATTTCCAAGCATCATATGAGTTCTAGTGAATCAGCAAATGCTATCACAAGGTATTGTTTGATTCTTTATATAGTGACAGCGCCGCACAAGGGTCATGAATATTCTATTGTTCATTTTCTTTCTAGATGAGGTTCCGAATAATTTGAAACTTTGTTATAAAAGGAGAACAAATTAAAATTAAAACAAGTATGATTTTGTGATCTTGCTACGAATTTACATCACTTACAACTTGATAGTTCACTGGAATTTATGGAAAAAAAAATGCTGATCAGAATAAGCAGCTGCTTGATGATTGTTCATGATGGTTCTATGTTCAGTATTAACTCAAACGAGAGAGCCTATGCCTCATGGTGGAAGTGACGTGGAACACCAAGTGACTTTAGAAAGAGACAACTGCTGGCCAAAGGTGCAGCAGATCAGAAACCAGGATATCCAAATATGCTATATTCGGTCTCCTGTCACAGCAACGAATCCAGAGCTACGACAGATCTTGATAGAGCCGGACGCTGCTTGCCCGTGTTGTTATACTTGGAACTCTGTATTGCCAACATTTTGGAACATTTTTTCTATCACAACAATAACAGACAGACAGCTTCTTTTCTGAAGCAACAAGAAAACCAGCCATAATTGTATTTCCTTCCAAACATTATTGCAACTCTGGATTAAGAAGAGAAGCTGCAAATGATCAAAAAGGCTGGTTTTTCCCGAAGCTAAGTCCATTTTTGTTCTGTAACATCGTGTATTTCCCCATAGCAATTGCTAATGGTCTTCATTTGATGATGATGTTTTGGTCTTTTCATGTACTATTCGCTGGCAGAAATCAATGCAATTCAGCCCGTTTTGAATTGCAAACCTGAAAAATAGTCAAAACCAAAAACTAAAAGTCTATATTGTTTTTAATCCGTGGCGTAAGGATGTTTTCATTTCTGGAGACGATACTTGTTAGGCTGGAGGATTTCAGCTTCTTGGGCTAACATCTACGCTCTATTTTTGTTTTTAATCCTAGGCTTATTGTCTTAGTGAACTCTACACCTCTTTTGCTCCTCAACCTGCTTTTATTTTTTGTATTGGCTAAGACCTGGAATGAAATCCTTAAAAATAAATAGTACACAACACAGGTTCTTAATTTTTTATTTTATTTTATTTTATTTTATTTCTGCATCTGTCTCAGCTTTGGCATGTAGGATTTTCAAGTTCGAGCGGTTTCCAAAGCACTAATAACGTTCAACAATTTCACCATTTTTTTTTTTTTTTTGCGACCTATTTCGAAACTACAGAATCAACCTCTGTAATGCAAGTCGATGATAACATATAGATATTAGTCCTGTCAGAATATCGATCTAATTACATCTATTCGGATTGAAACAAAAATTTCAGACTTGGGGTGGTTGATGCATAGATGTGCTCTTGGAATTGTTCACTCTATCAAGGATTTACTTCTATGGCCTTTGTAACTCTTGGGATTTAAACTAGTAAAATGCTCCAAATAAAAAAAAGAAAAACATATATGTAATTATTTGGCTAATTATGTCTTAATCTGTATTTTTTTTAAAAAAAAATCTCTCGTACACGAAGAGAGTATGATATATAGAAAGTAGACATGGATTATTATTCAGCAAAAAAAGGATTGTTTATTACTATTTTTCACATGAATGATGAGACAAATGCCATTAATTTTCTTAAACTATTCATCTGAGGATTCCTATAATGTTCTGCCAGTGGCCTGCTTGAAACTGTTTAATGGGAATCCATGGTCAACTTGTATAATTCACATTGCTATAAGATGATGTCTTGAGGGAGCTAGGTATCCAAGCAGAAAGACACACAAGCATTAAGAGTGAATCCATTGGTCGAGAGTAACAAATACAGAGATGGAGAACAAGAAGCTCAGTTTGCTGTTGATGGCGGTCATGCTATTTGTGGCAGCCATGGCTTATGCAACCTTAGCTGATAGTGACTGTTATGGCTTCCGGTATTGCTTCCATGAAGACGAATGTTGCCCTGACGAACATTGTGAGTGATATGGTCCTGGTTTTGGTACTTGTATTCCTCATTATAGATAAATCCTTGCAAGTTTCAGCTGCAAATAAAGATGTTCTTCTCCTTTGGTTCATTCTGTCCTTCTGTGCTTTTGAGCTGATGGTTTTGTTTTGATGGGGTGGCGCTTTCTTTTTTCTGATGGAAGGATCTGTTTCTCCCTAACAACAAGTCTGTGCTGGGTTCTTTCTTGCTGCTAGGGTTTCGTTTTCAGCCATCTTCTCGTTGGCCTTTTTGTCCCGGCCCCAATCTGCAGCTTTTCTTGTAGTTCTGTTGAATCTTTAATGGATAAATTATTCTGACCATCTTATACTATAGTGTTTAAACACTTACATACTTCGTTTTATCCCGTCCTATCCAAACACAGCCTGACTGTTGTTTTGTTTTGAGCATTGAAACTGGTGCAGTACGAAGAGCTATGGAGGTACAAGTAAAATCGAACTATTGCAGAAGATAACAGTTTTGCCAAGAGATCTCATCCACGGATGTAGAACCACCCAAATAAATTCTGTCTTTTTACTAACTGCTGTTTTTATTTACTCAAGACAAATTAAGAGAAAGCCCTAGCTATTCAAGCCTAGAGAGATTATTCCTTGAAAAAACAACTGTATTTGAGCTACTAAGTGTTTTTTCCTGACATTGATTTAGGCCTCAGAACAAGAAAACAAGAACGGGTGAAAAAAAGTTGTTTTGTTTATGGGAGCGCTGCCATTGATATGACCAGCTTTATACATATATATATATGTGTGTGTGTGTGTATGTGTGTGTGTGTGTGTGAACACAAATATGATAGGCTCTCTGACAGAAGACACCCACATAAAATTTTCCTTAAAAATATCAAGAAACAGTCTTTTTCAACAATAACCAAAATTAGAGACAAAAATAGCTTTAAAAATAAAACAAAAATGAAAAGCTGCTATACATGAAGGAGGCTACTCATCAAAATATACAAGTAAAATTCCCACACAAAGGTCCAATTTCCAGAGACACCACCACCTATTTCAAACCAGTTCAAGCCCTTGACTAATCTCTTCAGTTCAACAATGGACTGAAAATAAAAAATGAAAAAATGGGTACCAGCAGCAACTGCAACTCACCACCACGATTGCCTGCATCAAAGCATTAATACAGATTTGTCAGAAAAGAAGGGGGAATGGAAAGAAAAAAGAAGCTGCTTTTGTTCAAGAACAAGCACTGTTGTTGCAATTAAAGCTAAAATCATTATGATGAATAATCTTATATTATGGCTGGCTAACTGACATATGATCCAGCAATCAGCATGCTATTACTAATGCCTACGTTTACTCAGAATAAAAACAATCAACTACTAATGCACATGCGTGCATGTGTGTGTTTATTATGACATTGTTGCATAGGGCTGATAAGATACGAATTGCATAGGGCAATGATGCAAACCAGAGTTTTTTATCTGTGATGTCGGCAAGGCAGGCAAGGACATCTCTGCAAGGTTAGGTGGAAGCCGTTAGAACAAGAACTTAAGAACAAACTGCATATATGATTGTGTGTGTATTTCCAATGAAATGTCAAAGTGCATGTGCTCGTTTAGAAATATGAAGAACAGCTAATATTTGGTTCTTTCTTGATAGTTGAACACTTACCTGGGGCACAAAGAGACAAGGTTGACATGGAGGATGACGAGGGCCATGGAGCTGCAATGTTGTCAGTCAAGTCACATGTAAAACTGAAACCTGTCGAATTATCCAATATAACATCGGCAGGCAAGCTTCGAAGTAGACACCCTATAATTGAATGGAAAAGAAAATTCAATAAACAATAATAATTATTATAACAATAAAGAGATAGCACTCTGATTTTTTTTCCGGGCTGCAAAAAAAGAACAGTTTCTTTACAAGCTCTATGAGGCACTTTCTTTTTCTAGTCAGATGAACAAAACCTTGTTTGCTTTCTCAAACAAATTAGAAAATACCACACCTATCCTGTCCCCAGACCTCAGTAAGATTATCACCTCTCAACCAGAGATAACCAATGTTCTTTTACTTACCATATGCTACTTGGCAACAAAAACGTTTTCATCAGCAACCTAAATACACAAATAAAACCCAGAACTTCCAAGGAGCCAACTACCAGGTTTGGGTGGGAGATTTTAATGCAACATAAAAAACATGCCCTGGATCCCTTTCACACTTTCAGCACTGGACATCCATATGTTTCCAAGATGTCTTACTTTAATCTCTAAATATGACATCAGCATATAAGTTATATTGCTGTGAGAGAGAGAGAGAGAGAGAAGCAAACCTTGTTGTCCATATGCTGCTTTGGCATCCACCAACACCCAAATCCACCCAAAAAAAAAAGAAAGTTATCATATCAGATGCCATAGAAGAAGAAATGGAGTGAAAAATAAACAGGAAAGATATTGCAGAAAACAAACCTTGGATGCTAAAATCTTTCAAGTCAATGTCACAAAGCTCATATACATTTGTCATGACCCCGCCTTGTCGTAGCTTGGACCCCAAAACTGTTGCACAGATTATCGCCTGCTTGTTTGTAATTAACATTTGATTTTGTATCCCAGCAATGTATGTATTTAATGAGCTACAGCAGGAGGGACTGGGAGCAGCTACATTTCGACATGCTTTAATAACTTCTAATGGCTGTGTGAAATTCAAAGGGCAAACTGCACATGAAACATTGACTCGTCAGAAGTGAAATAACCCAAAGCATCAGCAAAACACTTACAACAGGTCCTCCTTCAGGTCACAAATTTATGATATAGCTAGGTGACACAGAAACACATGCAAGTAAAGAAAGCAAATTAATAAAACCAATTAAGCTTGTGAACAACTATAGAACAGCACAGCTACCATAATTCTATCTCAAAAACATGATTACCCTTAATTCAATTGCACGATACCCAGGCTTTCTAAGTCTTGTTTTGCTGCTACTGCATAAAAGTTGAAAACTTTGACCTTCTTTCATACTCTAAGTTTGTGTGATTAATTGAAACCAACACAAAGCATCTAGATAGATTCAAAAGCAGCATCATTTGATGAATAGATGAAACCTAACGATCTAGACTCGAAGCATATTGCCTACACTTTTGTCTTCTCTTCAACTATAGCATCACTCCTTCATGAAAAGTTCCAAAACATGGGATAAACTCAAAGAAGATGCAATGTATGCACAGGAAATTTATGAATGTAACATTGGCAATACATATATGAAATTCAGTCCAGCTAAAAATGAGGAGAGTTCATAAACAAGGAAAAATAATTATTACTGTACCCTTATTAACTTTGCAGGCAGACACTATCCGGAATGCAGTATTTGCAGCATCTGCTGATAGCTTCCTAGAGAGATATGAATATACCACCCCTTTACAATCACTAAGAGGATCATTATGATTAGGCTCGGTCACTAACTCTTTATTATCATTGATTGGCAATTGTGTCCCAGAAATCCTAAGAGCAGCTTCAGTGATTGCAGATTGGCAAATTGGTCTGCAACACTCTTTAAGAGGATCGACAGTACTGCAGGCTTCCAGTAATTTGCTTGTATTTATCGCTTTCTCAAAGTTAACGACATCCTTGACTGGACACAACCCACCAGTAAGATTTAATGATTTAACAGAGCAAAGTGTAGGTATGGTGATATTGGCCCCTCTGCTGGCTAGTATACTAATGATATCTGAAAAACAATCATCAGCAACTGCATTCTGCAGAACCAACTTATCAGAGTTGACACTGTAATAACCCTGGAAGATGTGGAGCAAACTACCAAGCTGCGGACAGCATATTACATTTCCTACAAGAGCTGCCAAGGGTTGAGAGCAATCAGATGCAGTTCTGTCTATGACATTTGACAAGGCGGTGAAATTTACAGGGCATTTCCCAGTTAATTTTGGCTCATATGTGGTGGGAAAAGTCGGGTACATAGGAGCCAAAGATTCACCAGGATAAGGGTTACGTGGGAGGACAGCAGGTGATATTTCAATAGGACCAAAAAGTCCAGAAATAGGTGGAGTTGCTAGCTCAGACGTTGAAGAAACATGATTGGGCTCAAGCAGAGTCTGCAAAGCCACAGCAACTTGGAAACTGGATAACCAAATGATAAATAACAAGAACTGATGGCCTAGTGAACCTGCAACCAAACATCAGGCAGCTATCAGCATCAACACACTCGTCTTTCTCTGTCGTAAAGAAAAAAAATGCAGAATTCATCAACTGCTTATAATGGCTTACCCTTTAGACGACTAATAGTCTGGGAACCGTCCATATTTCCACTAGCCTTCTGGCACCATTGAATTTTGGAAAAGAAAAACCCTACAGCACTAAATCATAACCCGAAACTTGCTCAAAATGATGCAGCAAGCCAGAATACCTGTACAATGCCCAAAATTCATCAACACAAATCAAAATAAAGCCAAACAATAAAGACTAGCCAAAAGCACACTCCACACAGTACCACTGCATATCAAAGAACAACCAAGCTTGATATATGTTTTATTTCACAACGATCCTTTGTCACTTGAGTCTACAAAAAGTCAGAAACATGCCAACCTACTCCAACCCTTCCAAATTATGATAATTATTAATTCACTAAGGAAACCTAAAAATATAAATTGTGCAATTAAAAAAAAAAAATCCCTTATTTGCTTGGTTCAATACCAAAGTAATGATCTTAGACTTCAACCCACAATTTTTTTACATCTAACGAACATTTATCCTCATCATACTAACTACTGTGTTTATTATACATGGATCAAAACTTATTCTACACTACTTGTTCCAGTACATACAATATTCTCAATCATTTGATACGAGTAAGCAAAATCATCTAGTTTCTTCAGCTAAACAAAACCTTTTTTTCTAGCTAATAATACCTCCACTATTGAAACTTAACTCTCCACATCAAGTTAATATAAAATATATTGTCTATCGATTCACTAATACCATCAGATTTTAGTTGCCAAAAAAAGATATTCTCTACTTGGTATAGCTGAACAGTTTCACCTCAACTAAATAAACCTTTGCTCAAACAAATGCAAGATCGAAGCTAAAATTTCCATTTCTGTGTTCCAAATCAGTAAAAGATTAGTAGCTACAATGGAAAAGCTTAACAACCCACAAGTTCTATTAACCTGAAAAATAAGAAAAACCCATCAAGCTGGAAAAAAAATAAAATAAATAAACACTCAAGGCTCAACAATCTTAACTCCTCTACCTTTTTCTTGCAATTTCCTCAGCTACCAAATAAAAGAATCAAAAAATTCTTAACCAAAAAAGAGGAAAAACAACCACACACAAAACGAAGCTAAAAACACTCCTGTAAAGCTCAACTAAGCAAAATCTAAGACCCCAACTTCTATTTTTTCAGCAACCAAACACATACAGTTCACAACTTTAAGAATAAACAGAAAATAAAACTGACCCACCTGAAGATGATGAACCCATGTAACAAATTCAAGTGTTTCAAGCCCCCCACAAAAACAAGAAACACAAAAAATCAAATCTTTTTCAGTATTGGATCTATTTGGGCTAAAAAAGGAGAGAGCTTTACTTATGTGAAACCCTAAATCAGAACTTTTTCTTTTCCTTTTTTTTTTTTTTTTTAGCTCACTCAAGTAGAAAACTCTCTCCGTGATTGTAACTGTGGTCGTTGTTGGTGGATAAAGTATAGCCTAAAAAACTTTACCTTTTTCAGACTCTCCACCCGACCCGATTTGTCTTTGTTTTCCCGGGTCAAGTTAAACCTTCTCTGTTTTTGCTCAACCCGGATCCAAAATCTTTTTGGGAAAACTGCAAACAAGTCCTCCAACTATCGACCTTATCTCTATTTAATTCCTAAGGGATTTGTTTTGTCTCAATTGAACCCACTAAAGTATTCAAATATTCTCAATTAAGATTTTCGTCCAAATAATTCACCTATTTTCAATAAAAATATTAATATTTCTAAAAAACTATAATTTCCAAGTCAAACATTCTAATGAATTGATTTAAAAACTTAGACTCGTTTTCTAGGTCGAATTATGTAGGTAATTAAATCAAATAATTTATTGATTTGATTAAAATCCATCAATTCAATTTATCATATTTAAAAACAAAAAAAAAAACAAAACCTTCGTCAAGTTATATTGGGATCGAGTTTAATAATTTGAAAAAAAATATATGACACTTCTTGTAAAAAAATATAATGGAGTCTAGGAACGAATATAGATGGAAAGACTCGATTTTTCTGAAATTTAAGGGACTCAATAAACATAAATATTATTTAGCACTTAATTTAATCTACCTATATAGTTGTGGGACTATTTTCCCTATCTTTCTTTAGCACTCTAAACGGTGCGTTCTGTAGACAGGGGGTTTTGGGGTTTTGTTCTTCTCCTCTGCGTCTCTATTTTTAAATGCTCACTTCTTTCTCTTCTCTCTTTGTGTAACCAAACTGAGGCCAAGGTAATGAATTTCTCTCTCTCTCTCTCTCTCCTTCCTTTTCTTTGAGTTTTTTGTATCTGGGTTTGGCTTAATTTATGGATTCATGCATGTGTTTGTTCATTTGACTGTTTATTTATTGCTTTTAAGAAGTGAAAATGGACTTCTATGGATGCTAAAGGATTGGTTTTTTTTTTTTTTTTTTTTGCTTTTTTCGATGGTTTTTTTGTTTACGTATCTGGGTTTAGCTAATTTATAAGTTTTTGCTTTGTGTTCCAGTTATTTTTAAGTGCTGAAATAGACTTCCATGAATGCTAAAGATTGGTTTTTTTTTATTTGTTTTTCGAGGGTCTCTTTGTTTTTAAATCTGCGTTTAGCTTAATTAACAACTTTATTTCTTTTTTAGATGCAAGTTATTGATTTTATTTGGTGAAGTGGACTTTAATGGATGCTGAAGATGGAATTTTTATTTGCTTTTTCAGGGTTTTTTTAGTACTGCAGCTATGCAAAGTATTCACCGGATAATATCTCGACTTTCTTCTACTACATTAAGCACAAGCGGTAATGCAACAAGATTTCTGAAAGAACAAACAACACGACCCACTTTTGGTAATGGCAAAAGGGTTGCATTGATAAATGGGATTGGAGCTTATCAAGTTATTGGGTATAGGTTCTTCTCGTTTAATTATGGAGGAGATGAGGGTGAAGATGATTGGGATGGTGCAGGTGGTCGACCTTTTGGTGGGTCTGGGAGTGGTAGTGATAGTGATGAGCTGGGTTGGGACTCAGCTTCATCATGGTCATCTGGATTGACTAAGGATCATTTTGATGGAGTAGCAGCAGTGGGTCACATGAGTACTAGTCCTAGTAGTGATAGTGGGAAAGATGGTGGAGATGGAAGAACTAAAGATACATCTCAGACTGCAATGACCTATGATTTACAAGATGTGGGCAGTTTGAGTGCGAGGAGGGCAGAAATTAATATGTTGTTGAAGCAAGCAAAGAACCCTGGTTCAAGAGGGTCTTACTTGAAGGACTCAGAGAAGGCAGAGATGTATCGGTTGCATAAGGAGAATCCTGAAGTTTACACTATTGAGAAGCTTGCTAAGGATTACAGGATTATGAGGCAAAGGGTGCATGCAATTCTTTGGTTGAAAGAGGATGAGGAGGAACAGGAGAAGAAGCTTGGTCACCCCTTGGATGATTCTATTGAGCAATTGCTTGATAACTTCCCAGAGTAAGATATAGATTGTTGATAATATATCCTTATGTTTTAAATGTCTGATCTAATCCCATGTTTTGGTAAATGATTGCAAGTTTGTGATTATTATGGACTTGTGTACACTGATTAACTCAGGTTTTGCATGTAGTCACTTCATGGGAAACAGGATTATTTCAATCTGTAATCAAAGTTTCACTGTCTTGGACTTGAGCTTGCAATTTGCACATAATAAAGAACTAAACTATAGACCGCTAGACAGCATGCCTTTACAAAACATCCACCAAATAAATGGTCACAGATTATTGCTTAATCCTTTTTTATTTGGTATTGTTTATTACGATTTCATGTGTTGTGTGTTAATTCTTTCTGTCATCACCCCTATATGATCCACCCCAACAGGTTTTGGTTCAATTTAAGATCAACCTTGTTACAGCAAGATCGATAGGTTGCCCATCTGGGTACATTTTGTCTCTGTATTGTGCATGTGCATGTATATATCTGTTTGGCCATGACTACATCCACAGAAAATCATATCTAGGTACAGGCTATAGCTATGTGATCGGTACTGGGTGCATGTGAGCATAGGCATCAGATTGCAACTTATGTACTGGTGGTTGATCATGGCGCCTGCTTAAGTGGACAGTACATAGTGACTTTATAGTGTGCATCGCATGTATCTATTTTTGTCCACTGACACACCCACAGAGAGTAATTGAGTTGTAGATATGTGGTTTGGACTGTATGTATGGAAGCATATCAGATGGTAAACAAACTATTCTTTTGCAGATTTTTCAAGTCCCATGACCGAGAATTTCATGTAGCTTCCCTTCCCTATAAGCCTGATTTCAAGGTAATGCCAGAGGGCTGGGATGGTACCATCAAAGATCCAGATGAAGTCCTCTATGAGATATCCAAAAAGGAGGATGAGATGCTTTATCAAGAATTTGTTCAGAGGTTTAACTTCAACAAAATGAAAGTAAGTCCCATCATCCATGCGCTTCTTGCTTTTAATCAGGAAGGAAACTGAAACCAACTTAAATAAATAAAATTGTCCGCTACTTCTGTTGTTTTAACCTTGCCATGTGTCCTTATCTTGCCCAATTACCAGAAAAGATCTGGTCATCCATAGATACAATTGTCCTGAAATCCTTGCTAATTTTGCACATGCAAAGTTAAGGCATTAACCATCTAAAATTATCTGTTCTATCTAAACCTGAGGTGAGACCAGTAGTGAAATAGGGGTGATGGCATGATCTTATGCTTTCTGGGTCTGAAACTGGGAATGGAAGTGACACTGACAAGAGAAGGTGGCAACTAAATCGAGTTCAATATTGCATTGGTAAAAGGGATCTAAGCTATCACTTGGTAAATTTATAGACACGTTCCCTAACGGTTCTGTCATTTATATTTTTTAGTTGCTGTATGGTCTGTGAGATTGAGGATTTCGAGTACTGCTATGTCACCTACTGTTTTTCCTTTCGGCTTTTGTTCTATTTTGCTTGTTTCGGGTGCTTTTTGGTTTTTCCTCCCTCTCTGAACTTTCCCTTTCACCTTTGATTCTCCTTTGGTGGTTTATTGAATTCCTTTGGCTTATTAAAAAAAAAAAAAATTGTTAAGGATTTTGAGAAACCTTGGATAGATTGGTCTTGTTGGCAAAGCAAAATCAGAGAAAGCTGCTTGTCCACTTATATATCAGAGAGAGAGAGATTCCTGTAGCAAGGAGCATGGTAGAAGAGTTGCCAAGGAATCTTAACGGATAGAATGATTCTATTTTCCTAAGTGCAGTGCTATTAGCTTATTATAACTCATTCAAACTAGCTGAATGATGCAAATGGCATCAGCATTGGCATTTGCTTTAATGATTGGCATAAGCAATTCATTGGTTTTATTCATGTGCCTGTGCCTGTGCCTGCTCAATAAGTTGCAAGCACATAATTTACATTTTATGGTGAAAAGCATCTACAATTTTCATTAAATTTTGTGCAAATGATCAAAATGATATGTGGTTTCCATTTGTGCAGTTCGCAGGAAAGGTGAAATGCCACAAGTACAGTAGGCGGCGTCCTTCTGAGGGTTGGAACTTCACAGTGGAGAAACTGGGAAAAAAGGGAAGCGTGGAAGTGGTGGTGGTTGGAAGTTTGTAAGCTTGCCTGATGGGTCCAGCCGGCCACTGAACGAGACTGAGAAAGTGTATCTCAGACGAGAAACTCCACGCCACAGGCGCAGGATCAAGCTTGCTTGTTCAGGGGGCAAAACCGAAAAAGAAAAAAATGGAATAAAACGATTTGAGTTGGCGTTGTCATCATCTTCAAGACTTGAAAACACTTTCTTTTCTTTTTCTTTTTCCTTTTTTTGTCCCATCACCATTTTAAGCTATTTGCCGTCCTGTATGCTCCATCATTGGCATCCTTTTGTTTTATGCTTGCTCTAGACGTACTTGGTGCTTTTGGAAGTGAAGCAAACTGGTGATTTGTAAACGTCATATAGCTTCCCCAGCCGTCAAAGACAATTAGAATAGAGAGAGAGTTATTTACCGATTGAAAATATATTGATATTCACAATCAGGAGTGTAGGCTTTAGTTGAATAAATTATAAATTATTCTCTGTAGTTTTGAAAAATAATTTAGTTAGTATGTCTTGTTTCAAATAACAATTATTTAGTCCATTTTGTGTTATTTTTAAATTTTTTTCTTTTTATTTTAAAAAATAAATTTATATCATACAAAGATTAACGGTAAAATACATTTTAGGAAAGAAAGTAATATTATGTTAAACATAGTCAATATTCATCAAAAGATTAAATCATCTAGTTTTTGAAAGAAAAAAATTAATTCATTTATCTAAACTAAAAGGACTAATTTATAACTTACTCAATTAAAGTTTGCATTCCTATAGGTCTGTGCTTTCCTACGGTTGCGCAACCTGAAACTTGGTTTAACGATGAGGAATAAATTATGCATTAGTCCTTTTAGTTTTGATAAATGAATTAATTGATCTTTCTTGTTTCAAAAACTAATTATTTAATTTTTTTATTCATTTTATGTTATTTTTAAATTTGTTTTCCTTTTTCTTTAATAAATAAATTTATATCATGAAAGAAATCAATGGGAAAAAAATCATTGTGTGGAATAAAATAATATTACATTAAACATGATCACTACTAATCAAAATATTAAATAATTAGTATATTATTTTTTGTGAGATATAATCTATTAAAAGTGTTATTAACTTTTTTTTTACAATAAACTTAACTATTGTTGTTTAATATTAAACTATTAGATATATCATTATTTATTAGCATGTTTAATTATTAAAATTATTAAAAATATGTGAATTAGAATAAATTTATTAACGAGTTGTTAATGTATTCATCACATTGATTGCCGCAACCATTATTTTATAACCGAGATAAGTTGCTATTCACTATCGCGATCGTTTTTTCGATCACGACTGCTATTCAAAACTATGTTTGCCGCTATCTGGTCGACATTGATTTCATGCAGCTTTCTAGAAAAAATCTAGGATTCTCAATTGAAGTCTGAGAATCTTGGGCCAGCTTAGCGATCAATTTGGGAAATTTTCAGTAGCCAGAACAGCTAGCTGGTATTTTACATGTGATTCAGGGTTGCAACCAGGTCTATTGAAGATGTCCAAATTCCTGAAGGCAATTTGGAGATCCATTTGCACATGTGCAGATTTTGTTACCTACTGCTATTTATTGGGACGTTTCCTTTATGATCTATTTCCCTTCGAATCTTGCATATTTGAAGCTCTATTTTCTTTTTCGTTTGTACTAGGATGCAAGTTTAGTGCTTAGCCAGCTTTTGTGCTCCTGTTTTGTCCTCTAAATTAGTACTCTTCAAACTTCAAGTTGAAATCACACAACCTAATTTTCTCCTTATTGATGTGTTCTTCATTCTGTACTTTTCTTTGAACAGTTTAAGGTGTGGTTCATAATGCCACTGATCTGGGGTTTGTTTGCACTGCTTGAATTGTCATTGCTAAACTGTGAAAATATAAATTTAGAAGGGAAAAAAATACTAATGCAAAGATCAAATTTAGCACCGAAGTTGATAAATTTCATTAAGCGAATTTTTAATTACAATGATCTATTTAAACAGAGCAATGATTGTTGGCATCTGTTTACTCCACTGAAGAGAGTAACATGTACAAAATTTGCTTGACCTTACTTCACTATCATATGGTTAATTACATCAGATAGAATAGACTAATTCTTGGAGTCTGGCCTGCACTTGGCATGCACAGCAGGACCTAATCGACTCCTATCCAAGGTTTCTGCTGCTGATTTCTTTGCTGCGTTCAGGTAGACAGCTCCTCTGAGTATCCAGTCATCAGCCTCATGGCTGTAGAATTCTTCAAACGGTTCGCGACACAAGGCACATACTTTGCTGTCATCAGTGGAACTCACCCAATCTTCATCTTCATCTTCCTTATCAACAGGAGCATCAGCTTTTGTGAATCCAGGAACTGCAGCAACTTCTGCACTAGCAGCCAGCCACGTATCGACACCAGCAAACCACATACGAGAAACGCTTTGCTTCTGCTTCTGCATATGCAGCTTGGATATCTTGGTTGTCCGGTTTTTAATCACATGCCAATCCATATGCTTGCTATGATCTTCTTGGCACTTGAATCTGATCCCACATGTTGAGCATTGCCTTGGCAAATCGGCATATAGGGATCTAATGGCAGATTCATGCCTCACCTTAAGCTGGTTTGCATCAAACACAACGACACCACTAAAATCATCTTCCTTTTTAATCAAGGAATTCAGGAGTGAATTTATCAAACCAGAGCATTCGTTAGCCACGAGTTGGTTACTGGCTTCCTGCAACTTTGGTGCAGGATTGAATTTGCTACTATTTGGATTATTACTTTGGAATTCATGTTTAGCCAAAGAAATTACTCCATTGCCGACCGAAGATGTTAGCAAATCAGAATAGACAGGAGCTACTTGATTCTGTGAATTCAAATGCATGTTCATAGCATTCCGATTCACCAAATTAGGCTGCATTACCGGAAGATTTGGCGTGAAAACCCCATTGTTATGAACTGCATTATTAGACAAAATAGATTTTGTTACGAAACTAGAATGCAGTGGAGCAGATAGTGACTGTGAATTCGTAGACATATTTCTAACATGATCATTCGAAGAATTAGACAGGAAATAAGAAGAGTTAGTTAACAAACCAGAAGACACGAGAGAATTTTGTGAAGGTGAATTCAGCAAGCACATATTTGTTACATTCTGATTCATCATAGACTTTACAATAGCAGGTTTTGGCATTGAACACACAGGGCTTCTTAGTGACTTAGAATTATACAAATTATTAACCACTGGCTTGTTGACTTGAATCTGCTGCAAAGCCGGAAAATTCTGATTGAAAACCCCATCATCAGCCTTCAAATTCCTGTATTGAAACTGTTGAGAAACTTGAGAATTTGGCACTGAAACCCCACCATAAAACCGTGGCTTCATGCCTTGAAATTGCTGTGAAAATGGAGGATACGGCCTTGCAACCACAGATTTATTAGCCTCAGGTTTCCAAGCTTGAAAATTTGGCACAAAACCCCCATTATTTGCGTCTGGCCTCTGGGGTTGAAATTGTGGTAAAGCCAGGAACTTTGGCGTCAAAATCCCATTATTATCGAACTCTGGCTTCTGGGTTTCAACTCTTGCTTTGAAACTAGAAATCCCACCATCAATCTCTACCTTCTTGGCCTCAAATCGTGGTAAAGATTGAACCTTTGGACCGAAATTGAAAACCCCATTATTATTATTATTATTATTAAGATCAAACCTCGGTTTCTTGGCTTGAAACCCATGTTGATTACGATGATAATAATCTCCTCGTCTTTCTTGAGTCATGTAACTTGCTCTTGATCTCTTGGGAGAAACCCCAACTGGATTGTACAGATTAGGAACTGTACTGCTATGGTGGCCTGTTCTCGTTATTATTGTTGCAGCCATGTTTATTACTTAACTCGCAGTAAGCAAAAATAAAGAACAACAAGCAAACTCTAGACAAGAACAATAAAAGGAAACCCGAGACAAGAAGAAAGTACTGCTATTACCAAAGATAGAAAGAGGGATCGTTTGGAATTTTAAAGGACAGCGAAAGCGAACAGGTTGCCTTTTCCTTAGTCCGGGGTAAGGGGTTGGTTTTATAGGCAATAAAGGCGGTGGGTTTTTTCCTATTGCTTCAAGGATTACGCGGTGTGGTAACGCGTATATAGCGCTGGTAAATTATAAATTAGTCCCTTTTTTCAAAAGTAACCATATAGTCCTTCTAGTGTTAATAACTAATTAACTAATCCCTATATTTTTAAATCCATTTGTAACAATCATTTTTCATTTTTTTTAATTTAATAAATAGCAACGAAAAAATGGTAAAAAAAAATATAGACAAAATTTATAAGAAAAATACCATTTTTAAATAATAAAAAAACTATTCAATTTATTTTGCAAAACTAGAAAAACTAATTTATAATTTACCCTACTTTTTGTTAGGACGTCAAAGTGCTTCTTTTTTTCTTTTTTCTTTTTTTGTGGAGAAAGAAATAAACAAATCAAGAATTTAGTTACAACAATTTTTTTTAGAATTATTTGTGTTTAGATGAAAAATTTGCATGGTTTACTTTAATGGGGCATTCGGCCAAAACCCTTAAGCGTGTGAGTGATGAGATTTGTTAGGGTTTATACATTGGAATGAATCTCTTCTTTGTCAACAATTTAATTTATTTTGTATGCAGAAAGAATTTACTTACAACAAAATTTTTTTTAGCCTGCCTCATCCATCAAATCCCACATAAATATCAAATACTATCAATAGAACACTCGAAAAGCCACCCGTAACAGAAACTTCTTGTAGCAGCATTTGCCTGGGCAAAGCTTCTGGTGTTTTTTGCAACCAATGCTGCAGTCAATAGATCAAGAAAAAGTTGATGCAGGTTGAAAGGGCTTGAACAATCACGGGAGAAGGTATATCGATAGCTTGGATAGCCTGTATATATCATTTCGTCCATGATGCAGCGAACTCAGTTGCTTACTCTGAGATCTCATTTGCGTCCCTGGTTTTCACAACTAAAGAGATGGAAGACTATGGAAATTGGAACAACTTTGTTCAAGAACCTCAGGCATCTGAATTTCTCCGTGGTTTCTTCTTTAATTTTTCTTGCACCCGATACCTTTCCCGTCTTATTTCCCTCTTGCGCTTTTTAGACAGTTCCTCATCCTTGGCTTTCTCTGCTTCAAGTTTCTTTCTTTCCTGCTCTTTCTTAAGCTTTCGCTTCTTCATCTGCAACGCCACATTTTTTAGAGAGTTAAGCACCTCCATGTTAAGAATTAATCAGCCAAGAGAACAGGCTGAACAAATACACATAAACATGCAGCCATAGACTCATCAACTAATCATTGATGCAAACTAGTTACAGGTCGGGAACATAATTCCATTCTTTCCAGTCAGTTCTATAGGAAACCTAACCATGTAGGGCAGAACTAGTTTACAGATGTGGCTTTGCTAATTTGTATGTTAACCTTGCCCTTTCTTATTTCCAAGTATATTTGATAAACGCAACTATTTTTAGGATTTTCTTCAAGCACATTGATGACAAGTTTACACTCTAAAGCAACATCACATCTAAGAAATTTATGCAAGTCGGGGAAAGGTAATATTCTCTTCACTCTTAAGGCTGGGCCAGTCAGTCTAAGAGAATTTTATTTTTAATACTGACCAAATGCAACACTAGCTTTGACCACTTAAGCAACAATCTTACAGTTGAGAACATTCAATTATTCATGTCAATATGAATTTCAGGACCTCTGGTTTAAGTGCATACCTTGTCATTCGTGATCAATCGAAGTTGTTGAACAAGAGCGTGGACTCTTCGTTCATCAGACTCCATAACGACAGCTCTTCTCCTTTCAAGTGTGGGCCGTCTCCTACTGGGTATGTTCTTGGGTTTGGATTCAAATGGAAGAGCTGCTTGTAGTGATTTGGGAATCACCAATGGATTGAACTTCTTTGGCTTCCTTTCAATTGGCTGTTAAAAACAGATAAAACATGGTTTATAAACAAATATTAAAAAGCAAAACCTACTTCCAACATTATCAGGAGGCAGGAAAGGTGAGGGGGAGTAACTACAGGCCCAAACTACCGCCAACTTCGCATCATAGATTACCTTGTACAGTGAATCCTTATTAACAGGAATGGGAAGATTGTGTTCCCTCCTCAATTCAGCCATAGTTTTCATCCCTTGCCAGGTCTTATTACGAGGTTGCAAGGCAGTGGTCAGTGGGTTATAAAAGTTAGGAACTTCAACTTGAGTCCAAGCTCGCAAGAAAACAATGTCACTCATCAGAATTCTGTCCTCAAAAGTGCACCGGGCAATCCCTTCTCTTGGTGCCCCTCCCTTCTTCGTGGGATGGTTACCAATCTCTTCTTTTGCAGCCTGCCCAGATTAAAAGCAGTTAGAGATTCCTTCAGACAGCCTTTTGAATTGTATAAGATGACAATGCATGGATCGACACAATTAAAGACATGAAGAAAATATAAGACTGAACATGAAAATAAGCATCTTCTTCACAAGCAGCCATACCTTTTTCACCTGCCCCCTGATCCCACTGACAGTTCGAACAGCAGCACCTTCAAACCTAGCTACTTCAAGATCTGAAGTAAACATATTCATGATAAGTGCGGTCTTCTTGAAGATTTTACATGGATGGCCAACCAGCTTGACTTTCTTCACAATCTTTGCTGCATGGTTGAACTCAAGTACAACTGCAGTTGCTGTGACCCGGAATGATGCCTGAAATCGAGAGAAAAGTAGTCAGTACATAAAAAAAAAGAAAAAACAAAAAGCAAAGGGAAAGAACAAGAGGAAATAACCCCTACACCAGAAAAAGGAATGAGGTTCTATTTTGCCAAACAATTGTTCCTTACCACCATGCATGTATGAACAATTCCCTCAAGCTTGAAGAGATGCTCCTTAAACCATATGGCTAAACAAAGTTCAATGCCTTAAATGTTGACCGAAAACATTATGATTTGCAAGATCTAAAAATCTATTTACAAATCTTGCATGCTACAATTATTCCTTGCCTACTGGGCTACAGATCAAGGAAAACAAAGACATTTTGAACAACTCAGATTCATAAGCTGCTCTTTTGATTGCCAAGTGTGTGGTTTTATCCCTTGTTTCAGATTTCACGTTCAATGTTCCACCAAATCTCTTTTTTTTTCTTTTCTAAATAAACTAGCATATCAATTCATTCATAGCATCGCAGGTGATATATACATTTCCATCTCTGTAAGGACAATAAAGTTGAATTTGCTTTTAACTAGAATGTTTAAACAGAAATTATATCATACAGGTATCATTTCAGCACAGAACAACTGTCAATCAAATATATGTAACAATGGTTTTCTAACCACACATTATTCTAATTGCATCCAATTGAATATGTGGCAAGAAATTGCATGTGCTCTCATTCTCTCATCAGTGAATTGACATTTTTTGAACTTCAAAGACAGATTAATTTCTTAAAATTTACCAACAGCAAAGCACACCTCTACTACAGCAAACCAAAAGCTATTCAGTTGACAAATATCAGATTTCTTTCTTGAACTGAAAACTTGTGAAGAAAACCAAGAATTATAACCTGATTGTTTGCTAAATTCTGGACAGCAACCACTCCAGTGTTAGGAGGGGCAAGTGGGCCCCAGAATGTAGCAAGGCAATGCATATGCTCTGGAGTGTACTTGAGCATGCGATGCCTTCCATTGCGATCCTCAATGGCATAGATCGGGGTAGTTTGGTATCGCCTCCAACCAATAGATAAAATTACAGGGTCTTTAGTCTTCAGGACCTTCCGGTGCCATCTATGTCGTTTTAGCCGGGCCTGCAAACAAGAAATAAAACATTTCATGGACCACCATTTTTACCATAATGGAAAAGTGTGTTGTCAAATTTACCATGTTCTCACTATTTAGAAAATGAACAATCAAAATTATTTAGATACCATATTGTTTGCTTAACACTCGTCAAAGATACCATATTCTGATTTTATATCGGGTTTGCCAGACTAATTCAGAATTTTTTAACTTGAGTTGGAATGAGATTACAGGTAGAGTAGCAAAATTGACTCTTGTTTTCCTAATGCTGAGAAAACAAACGCTTAATATATTTATATGCTCATGAATCTGTTGCTGAACAACAATCTTTTATTTGCCTCTAACTTTAGATTTAACTTAAACTTTTTGGGCCTTAGGAGTTTGAGAAAAACATCATTGTCTCTTATTTGCACATTCTAATTAAATTCCCCAACTGATAGATAAAATACAACCAATTGCTGGGGTGGTGACCAAACCCATAAATCAGTTCGCATGGTATAAAATGCATATGCATTTATGGCTGCTAGAATGGCAGCACCAACTAGTATGTTGAAGAGGATCAGATACCCCCATGAAATAACAGGGTAAAAGAAGGCAAAAACAACATGATTCAGAGATTCTAACCTGCATATATCCAACATTTTCCTCACCAAGTCCAATTCCACCAACCAGAATTGGGTCACAGGGATCAAAATGCTCAACCATTTCGAAGGGAACATCATGAAGCTCCAACCTTAGGTAAGTCCCGGTTTGAAAACCCTCTATCTCTAAACGAATTTCCTCATCAAGATCGTTGAGTTCAGCTATATTCCTTTGTTTGCGGATCTCAATCTCCTCCTTCAACTGAAAGAATCAACCATGATAAGCAAGCATAAGCGACCCTTCACTAACAAGCAAATTGACTTAGAAATGCATCGGAAAAATCACCTTGTCAAAATAACCACTTTCATTGGCTTGACCTCGGTGAAACTTGGCTTCATTTTTCTCATCAACTTCTTCATCTGGTGATTCGTTTCCATCATATGTAACCAAAAGTCAAGGTCACAAAGCCAATTTCTAACTGCTACTGCAAATATAAAATATAGAAGATTCATTCCAGTACAAGCTAGAAAGATATTATAGACAGGTAGATGTAGTCCATCGACAATGTGTGAGATACAGATAGCAGCCAAAAGAAATTATCATCAAAGTGTATAGTCAGCCATCTTTAATGAGTATACAACTGTAGTGAAATAATTTGACTGGAAAAGGATATTGAGCATCGAATTTAGCACGAAGAGCAAGCTTTTTCAGCCTCCGCTGCCCTTCTTCCAATTCGTCTTCTTCCTGCATTGCGCCATTGCCAGATTCTTCTCTCTGATGGCTCCCATGCTTTTCACCAGTTTCCAAGTCCTCAAAGTCCCCAGAAACGGAATCCTCATCATCTACAACAGTAGCTGTAGAGAGCTGATTCCTTTGAGCAGCTTTTGACCAATCGCCAGTGACAAAACGATCACGAATACTTTCACATATCTCTTCATTTATCCACTTTTTGAGATCTGAATAGTTCGTAAATTTTGAACACTCATCAGCATCAACATTTTCAACATCAAATCCTTCTCTTGATTTCTGCAATAAATAGACAATAAGAAATAAGGGCTGATACATACATGATTATCCTACTTATTAGCAAATTTAGAACGGAAAAAAAAAAAAACCACATATCCTCTGGATTGTGTTTGAAACCTTATTCCCTTCTCCTTTTAGCTTAAAAAATTCATCATCACTTTCATCATCCTCGCTGTCAGCCTGCCCTTCGTTAATGGGACTGGGTGCCGATTTTCCATACACAAGTTGCATGAGATTGGTATTCTGTTTTGGAATAGTCCTCTCCACCAATGACTCTTTCCATTTTGATACATTTCCCACATCCTCCTCTGGAGATCAGTTAAGAAAAGGAGTTAGAGAACAGCTTCAGACGTAAAAGCAAATCTGATGGAATAACCTAACCTCCCGAATTATAAATCTTTCAATACGCATTTCCATTACCAATCCTGAATACATGATTGAACTGATTTTGATATCAAGTGGGCCACAATTTGTAAATCCATATCTATGAATACATGAATACAGAAAGGTCCTGAAGGTCGTGTTTGAAGTGTAAACATAACATGATACAACATATACAATTTATGTAAACAGAAGTTACCATTTCTTTCAAGATCATCTCCATTTTCCTCTGAAAACTCTGAATCAGAAAATGATTGATCATCTACATCATCATCATCTTCACTCCCTTCATCAGAATCCTGAAGTGCTTAATATTATTAGTATTTCTAAAAAGAAAAAGAATTTTTTTTTTTTTATACTTCTTACTATTAGATAGTGTCCATAAATGAGTAAATTCTCACAATGCAACTTGAAACATTAAGGTGACAAGTAATGCTAAACATATCATCAAGATGAAATTGAGGACACCACGCCCAGTGTAGACCAAAAGAGGAACATATTCTGAAAGCCATCCATTTTATTGCTCAATTTCAGAGTTGCTAAGCTCAGCTTCATAGTGCTCCAGCATTCACCAGCCCACCAAAACATATATGCGCATTTGATAAAGAAAGCACTATAACCAAGCCAGAGAGCAGGTTTGGGCATAAAAATTTAGTGCACCTTTGGATAAACTATAAGGTGGTTTTATCAGGCAATAAAGAAGCATCGCACAAGTACAGTATTGTTGACCCTATTTCATAGGCATGCTCATGCTGGCAACCTAACATTCGTACAGCAGATAGAAGCAAAAATGGATGCAGAAGTATAAGAGAGAAATAAACACGTTTAAATGCAGCTTTGAAAGAATGTTTCTTAATAATCACTTTTCCTTTCCCTATCACCCGTTTCCTTGTTAGATGATAGTAGTTCTTTAAAGAGACATAACAAGTAACGATGTTGATTACCTTCAGATCCTTATCATCAATGTCATTTCCAAACATTGCTTTTCTCCTCAACCTTCCCTCATGAAACTCAACTTGTTCTTTAGGATTGCCATATTCTTCATCAGAATTACCACTTTCTCCGTTTACCACAGCATCTTTTTGAGCAGCTTCATCTTGGTCTGAAGACTCAGAACTATCAAGATCTTCAGCATCTGTTTCTTCACCTAAGATGTTAGGTTCTAGACTGTGTGACTGCTCTAGAGCTTCATGATTACCTTGCGCATCATTCTGAGCTTCAGATGAGATATTAGCATTCCGACTGAAATAGCTAATAGAGCTCTTATCTAACTTCTCATCAATTGAATATTTTGTATTCTGTAATGACTTCACCAAAGCCTCACCTACATCTAGGTCCTTTCCTGGTAAGAAAGAACTAGACATTTTTAGCAGTGGAACTTACAAACAAAGACAATATTTCCTACCATGGTAAGCATTAGATACAATCAGGTACTTCAAAAAGGTCTTACATTCCTTTCACCAGGTAAAAAAAAACACACACACATACAAACAATTATAAAACACAAAGAACCTATGCCACGCTGCCCATGTACAAGGTAAGCAACAGAAATTCACATGTTTCAAAGCAAATATATGAGCTACGAGTATCAAACATAGCTTCAACCAACAATGAAGTACAAACCTTTGCTTGTCATTCCCTCATTCTTATTATCGACATTTGAATACTGAACAAAGTGGTCATTTATGTTTATGTAGACAGCATCCTTGTCATAAACCAGATCGCCGAGGCCAGACATGGGTGCATAAAATAATTTTTCCTTGTCACGCAATCCTTTCTTTTTGGCAGCTGATGGTAGAGGACAAGGATCAGCCAAGGCTGTAACACCAGCCAAATCGTAATCTCCAACACCAGCGATATGCACCTGTTTCATAAACTACGTCTTAGAGCACAGGTGTAGAAATTAAGGCGAAAAAATCAAGGCAAAGGCTGCTCCCTAATTCTACAACACGATGATCCATGTTCTCATTAGACAAAATGTAGAAATTTAGTTGAACTAACAGATCAAAAGTATGTCAACCACTAGCAACATAGCTTCTCAGGTATAGGAAAAGCATGAAGGGACAAATCCTAAATGATAGTTAAAACTGGTTGTTACTTCCAATAAACTTTACTTGCTGATTCAGAAGGCAAAATTCACACTCATATGGTAGGGAAAACATACCTTGGTGCCTTTTTTCAAATTACAACCACGTAGATAACCATAAAGTGTGACATTTCTATCACATTTATTGTTCACGCGCACTCTTTCAGGAGGAGTAACATCTTCAAAACGATCCACCAAAACATAAGGATGAGAAGTTCTCCAAGACAGAGGATGGAACTTCATAACAGAAATAAATCGTGCAAGGTTGTGAACCTCTCGTTTAACATACCTGTTCATTAAGGGAGTTAACGAATGCAATCAATTCCATAGAACACACCACAGGTAATATGTTTTTCCACATATCTATCAGTTTATGTCCAAAAGAATGAGCAACTCTGAGATACTTACTTGCCATTAATAAGGCCAGACAAATAGAACAGCTTTGCCCCGTCATATATTTCAGTCCAGAAACGATGCTTAAGTCGCTGTTTTGTTTTTTTCAGTTTTTTCACATCCTTGAACTTGTCAAGGTGAGTAAGGACGCCCATAATTTTTGGAAATCCATGAACTTGCAAAATATTAAGAAATTCAAAAGTCTCCTGCAATGGGATGCAAAATCAAATTTCTCATTTTAGATTGATCAGGAATATAACATGCTTGATAGAGCCTTCCAGAAAACTAAAAAATATATATCTAACAAAAAGGTTCTATGTCTAAATTGAACTCAACTTTCCATTAAACGAGCATCTACATTTCACCACAAAAACTTTTTGTGATCCATTGCATCCAATGGGGAAGGAAATGAAAAAATAGAACATTGTGAGTTCAATATCTCACCATTTCAAAACCATAACTTCCATCTATCAGAAGCAAAGCCAGATCAGCAAACTTTGCAGCATCAATCATGCCATTGATGTCATTTGGGCACTCCACAAATTGAACCCGCCTTTTCTTACCTAACAAATTGACACAAACCACTGTAAGCTCCAAACTATATCACCAATAAAGAACCCATCTTTCCTACCACAACTAATGCTAAATGAAACTCATGGAAGCACAAACCTGATACAATAGTAATGGGTCCTTGAACGTCCTGGAGATGATGCTTTGTATAATGCTTCACAAGACATTTTATCAGCAGAGACTTCCCAACCTACCACCAAATGTAACAACAATCAGTTATTAAAATCATAATAAAGACACATTTTTTCCTTTACTTCACAAGCTATCTCATAATCCCCTTAATTATGCTCCATTTTCCTTCAAAATCATAATAAAGAACTGAGAATAAAATCATTTCCTCTAACAAACAAATCCAGTTATGCAAATCGATATTTCACACAAACTCCATATCTTCATCAACTCTATGTACAAATCTTTTTTTATGAATAACAAATGTTTTCAACAACTCTAACCAACAAATTACATAAAAACACAGTTTGCTGATGCACAAATCATTGAACTTTTTTTGCCACAAAAATATATTTCCTTCAAAAATTCTAAATAACACCACATAATTTAACTTTCAAAACCCTAGCAACTTACCATGTCACAATTTCTCTCAATGCCGTAACAATTTCTAAAATCTCAAATTTTAGGAAACAATCATTAGTTTAATTTCTAACTAAAATCACATAGTTTGCCCTTCAACAAGTCGAGGACAAGTTTATTAACCGAAAAGAACTACTCTAATCAATAAATTACAAATACACAGTTCTAACTAACACTCACCACATAATTACACGTCAAAACTCTAACAACTACTACAATGTCACTAAATCTTTCAATGCCATAATAATTTCTACAACCCGTAACGTTTTATACCTGGGGCGGACCATGCACAACAACAACAAAAGGAGGCGGTTCACCATAATTCCTCTCAATAGTAGGCACATGAAGTTTCCTCTGCTCTTTCTCTACTGATCTTGACTGCAATTTCTTCGCTTTCACCGACGATCTAAACCCAAATGCCTAAAAAAAGCAACTTTAGCTCAAAATATTAAAAAATAAGCAGAAAGGAAGCATTTTAAAGTCACACTAAAGAGCAGGAGACCTTAGGGTTGCGCTTTTTTCATCTTCGCCGCCGTGTTGTTTCTTCTTCTTTGTGTTTTTTGATGGGCCCGCTTGGCGTAAGCGGTGAGGCTTGTGTGATTGCTCGTGGATGTTGCTGATTTTAGCCATGATTGGAGTTGTGAAGTGATGCTGCTGATTGAATTGGGTTTTGGTGTTTTAATGGAGATTTCTGGTGTTAGGGTTTTGGGAAGAAGAAAATTGCTGCTACTCTGCAAGAAAATAGGGTTTTAGCGAAGGACAAAACGGTGCCGTTTGGGTCCCAGGTTAACCATAGAGTGACTAGATTTTGGGCCCCACCAAACCTTTTTTTTCTCTTTTTCTCCTAGATTGCCAATGATTTTCTTATTGGCGCAGCAGTCCTTCATCTCTCTTCTTTTTTTTTTCTTTTTATCGTGTTGACAATTTAAATCCATATTTTGATTTGTGCATAAAATTCCTACTGTTTTTTTTTTTATGATGCTTTGTTCTTGAAATAAGGCTATGATGTTTTCCATAATTTGTTGGTCGAAAAGATTGATGTTTTTTAATAATTTTATATGGTTTAAATTTTTCGTTAATAGAACTTGATAGCATAATCAGTTCTCTTATTGATTTATTATCATAGTGCTAGATTTAATCGTATGCATAATATATAGAAAAATTCTAATCTTGGACAGTTCTAGAAAATTATTATTTGTCATTATTGTAAAATGGTTTTATCTAATTTTTTTAATGTAATAAATTGTAATTTCTTTTTTTAAATTTTAGTGTATATCCTTGCGCCACAAATATGCTGATGTCGATTTATATCCTTGCTATATTAAAAAAACATTTGAACTAAGTTTGGCGATAAACAAAATAACTTCGACTGGCCATTAAAGAATCATAGATGGATAAAGCCCAAAAGACCATATGGACTAATGATTTCGACAAAAAAGATATAATTTTTCTCTCTTGTTGGACACAAGTAACATATATTTAATAAAAACGTGGCTTATTATAATATATTTATCATATTATCACTAATATAATTATTTATGTATTGTTATATAACTACATTCACATAAAAAAATTATAAATTCAAATATATGATGTGAGCGATTAAACATACGAAAAAAGGAAATATTGAACGTAAACGAAGAGATAAATTTATCATCCACTCTATGCAAGTCGATCACTCATTTACAAAAATTAAGACACTAAGTTTTACAAATTCTATCTTTTAAACTAAAAACAAAAAATATCACATGTCTTGTTCATATAAGAGTTAAATTTCTTTGAATTTATCCAAACCATACACCTCTTTTCTCGTAAACTAATTTAACCGTCGAATAAGTCTTCTAAATACCAAAAAATGAATTATTTTGCATATACTTTTCATTAATTCAACATACGATAAGTTATATCAAAATTATGATTAATCTAAATTGAAAACCATCTAACTACTTGTTTTAATCCAAGAATCAGAACATTATTAATAAGTATATCAAATATTATTGTATACTAAAAATACCATTTCATCAAACTCGTTGCCATCTCTACCTAACAAAATAAGGTCAAATTTTTTCTTGTATAATTTTTTTTGAAAACAGAAAAGGAAACAGATTTATAATATTTTGTGTTTATTTCTAAAATTACAGTTCTAACCCCTATGGCACTACTTTTGTTTTTGTCCCATGAACCCAAATGACTTCATCTCTTCTTGTTTTCTATGGAAAACTCCAAATGTCTAAACTTCTTCTCTGTCAATTTACAGTCCAAACCTAATAAATTTATTTTTGACCTTTCAAACCATAAAAATGATGTTAGATATTGTATTTAGCAAGCTTGGTTTACTCGGATTAAGTTGTCATTACATTATTTATAGAAGGACTGAAAAAAGCATAAAATAAATATATACAAAATCTACAAATTTCTCATTTGATTTTTGTGCATGGAATATAAATTTATGTGCTGGTCAGTGAAAAGGGACATCATTGGTCATCGTTGATCGAAGAGAGCAGAGAATAAGGACTAAACTTGAAACAGAGAAACAAAGCAAAGCAAAAAAGCATGCTCCTTTATTACAACATTACACAGTAGCAGAGCAACAACAACAACAGAACAGAACACAAAAACACAACATGAAGAACAGCGACAATAATTCAAGTTTGGATTCTAGAATCAATCAAACCCTCAAAAATGTTCAAGGGTATGTGTTAAAATTCCATTTATTGAAGAATTGTATTTTTTTCTTATGTTAAAGTTCTCATCTTTGGAGTGTTTGATGATCTGTTTTGGTTTAGATTTAAAAACCCATTCTAGAAAATGCTTTAGATCTCTTGAATTATTGTCAGAAATCATGAATTTGGATCGATGGGATTCGAAGTCTTTTTTTTAAAAAAAAAAAAAAGTTTTCATTTTTTTATGGATTTTGATGTGAATTCAGTTCCCAAGGATTGGCATTTGCCATTTATTACGTTTAGATTTTTGTAATTTTACTTAGACTTGAGAACCCATTTGTTTAAAAGAGCTTTGGATCTCGTCATCTACCTTTAAGAAACGAGAATATAAGTTCCCAGAAAATCATATTCTGCAGTCATCGTAAAATGATTTTAAAGTTCTGTGAATTGCATTTGATCTTGAAAATTGCAAGGTACAGTTGATGAAATTGATATTACTTATATGGTGGGAGAGAGAGAGAGTTTAGAGGAACCTGTACCGGTGGATAAGTTACTGGACACAACTACAATGATTGCGTAATGTCTGCTTGTGTGACTCTGGGCGTGCATATGTTTGTGGTTTGACCATCTCATGAAAAGTATTGCCTCGCACATGGTTAAGGGACATAGTTTGACATTCATATGGCTGGAAGTGTTTTTCTTTTCAACTCCTTTGCCTTGAGCTGTGCTAGACTTGAATAAAGGCACTTAGATTTTTTTTCTTCTTGCAATCAAGGTTGCTCAAAGGTCGTAGTATTCCTGGTAAAGTATTACTGACCAGGAGGGCAGATCCACCAGAGGATCCAAGCTTGCGATCACCAACTTTTGGAAGGAGCTTCTCAGAAAATGATGCTGGAACAAGTGATCGAATGGACATGTCAAAGGAGGTAATATGGATAATAGATATTCGCCATGTCATTTTTTATCTTTGTGTGGTATTTTTGATGTGCTAGAGTTCAGTAATTGAGAACTTGAACAAAGAAATTTTAATTCGAATGTAGGCAGAAGCCCAGGGTAGGAGCAAGCAGCAAAACAATAGCACGACTGCGAACAAGCTAAAACCTACAAACTCCAATGTTGAGACAACGTCCAAAGAAGTTCAGAAGTCTGCCGTGGGTACTAGAGCTACAGATTCTGCAAGAGTCATGAAATTCACTAGGGAGCTATCAGGATCCGCGGTTATATTAGGTATACGCTTGTATATTAGATATGCAACCACATCGAATGATTTTAGACTTTATATTCAGACCTCTATAATTCAAGTCCACAATATATGTTCTATATGTCTGTATATATAACTTGTGATATCAATTTAATCGGACCAACAGACTGATCAATTCAATGGAAGAACTTTCAAAATGGATAGTAATTACCATGCTTTTAGGATATAATTCTGAATAATCAAGCCACACATAACAATATATATATATATATATATATGAAAAAATAGATTTAAAGTACTAGCCAAAGTGCTAACATGAGCGATCCACAAAGGGAGATACAAAAAGAAAGCATTCATTGAAGAGTAACTGGCTGCAGAACCATTTTTGGCAAAGAGCTCTCTAAGATGCTTCAGTCATTTTCAACAATCTTGAGGAGAAATGTGCTAATTCAGCTTGCTGCATGCACTAGTGGAAGGCCAGAGCGGAGGTTTAGCTGATTGATAAGATGATGTGGACCTTGATGTATGGAAGTAGGGATTCCTGTAGCCAGTTTCACTAGCAAGTAGATTAGATTTAGGTTCCTGGAGCTTTAGATTAATTCAGTGGACATATTTTGGATGCTGTCTCTGTCTCATGATATCTGGTATTTTTTTATATGATAAAATTGGGAGTTCTGAGGCTTGTATAGATGTTTGCATCCATCAGTATCACATTCTCTTGTACATGTCAATTTCCATAAGCTATAATATTTCCCTTGTTCTTAAATTTTCTTTTCAAATGCATTGTGCAGAGAAGTTACGTGAGTTGGCTTGGAGTGGAGTACCACCATATATGCGTCCAAACATATGGAGGCTTCTCTTGGTAAGCCTGAGGCAATTTTCAAACAGGATTGATATGATTTTGACTAGAATACTAGAAAAACAGCATTGGTGCCTGTTTGTGCTGCTAGAACTCCTCCATGGAGTCTGTTGCTTCCTCTGTGAAAACGATTCATTTGTTTATTGAGGCATACTTAGCATAGCCTTTTGAGCTCTTGATCACAACATTTTTGAATGAGCAAAATTTATTGCTTGTTTTAAATTTGAATGTGCACTGACAACAGGGATATGCACCGCCTAATTCAGATAGAAGGGAGGGTGTTCTAAGAAGAAAGCGCCTAGAGTACCTTGACTGTGTTTCTCAATTTTATGACATTCCAGATACTGAACGCTCAGATGATGAGATCAACATGCTTCGGCAGGTATTTCCACTGCAGACTTATGTCAGCCTTGATCGTTTGTCAACCCTTCATGCCCAATTCCTGACAATTTCCTTTGCTTCCATTGTTAGATTTCTGTTGATTGCCCAAGAACAGTACCTGATGTCACTTTCTTTCAGCAAGAACAAGTTCAGAAATCCTTGGAGCGCATTCTTTATACATGGTTAGATACTATTTCTATCATTCTTTCTTTAGCACCAATGGATTTCTGTTGACATGCAATGGAAGAGTTCGATGATTGCACATGCTTTGATGAAGATGATTGAATTGAGAAATAAAGGAAAATCTTTGACACGTTACTTTTAGTTTATTATGTACTTGGTTATTTTTTGGGACAAATCTTAGATCACATGGCAACCTAAATGTCTGATCATCCAGTCAATATGAGTTTTTTCATTTACCGAAGTCATCAATAAATGGCAATTATATCTCTTGAAGATGCTGGGATTGTGCAAGAGACACTGGGACAAAATCTCTGAAGGGCATCGAAGATAACATGATAAAGTTCTGTAAATAATGGCCTATAATATATGAGAATTCATAGCTATATAACAAACATCTCCTGTCATATAACTCCTGACATCTGACACTGAAAAGATTTCTCGCATGAATTCTCAATTTCTGAAAATAAGCCCTGACATGTGCTACTTACATTACTCCTTTTGCTTCAGTACGTTATGATTTAAACTGAAATACTGTCTTGAGAATCCTAGATCTGAATCTTTCTTGGTTCCGTGAAGTTCTGAGATTTCATATTTTAACTTTAAATGAATCTGCTCATGATGTGGTGTGTGGTTGTAAATGCTCTCGGTCAAGTATTTCCTTATTATTTGTTGTAATCTGATTTTTGTTCAGGTGTTATGTTTCTTGATTTCTTTCCAGGGCCATCCGGCATCCCGCAAGTGGATATGTGCAGGGAATAAATGATCTTGCCACACCATTTCTGGTTGTTTTCTTGTCCGAACACTTAGAAGGGGACATAGATAACTGGTCAATCTCTGCTCTGTCTCCGGATAAAATCTCCAACGTGGAGGCTGATTGTTATTGGTGCCTGTCTAAGTTACTTGATGGCATGCAAGACCATTACACATTTGCTCAACCAGGAATACAAAGGCTTGTGTTTAAGCTTAAGGAATTGGTGAATAGGATTGATGGTAAACACTTTCTCCATATTCTCCAACCAGCCTCTTTGTACCCTAGCGCATTTTGTTTCTACATTCTTAATTGTCAGCCAGAAAGAAATCATTGGTACTGCTAGAGTAGCTTATTTTTTATACCTGCTATCCCCTACCCTTTAAACTGCTTGTCCTACTCTGTTCCTCAAAAATTCAACACCATTAACCAAGCCAATATGCCACTGTCTCATCTGCTTTTGGTGCATACAATTTTTTTCAAATGTTACCTTGAGACTTCAACTCATGCATGACTAACCTAACTTTTCTATAAATTTATTTATAGGGTCTATGCATGACCTGTCACCATTGCCTTGTGTATAGCCTAATTATTTCTAATTTATTTTACACTTATTTGCATGCTCTATTAAGGAATTTTTTTTTTTTTAATTGTGGCAGAACCTGTTTCGAGACACATGGAAGGGCAAGGGCTTGAATTTCTTCAATTTGCTTTCCGCTGGTTTAACTGTCTTTTAATACGTGAGGTATGATTCCTCACTTAAGACTGTTAGTGCTTGCAATTGTTGTACAACCACCATTTTAAATTTTTTTAATATTCAGCCAACTAGGTTAAAGTAGCCCAAACTGTCAAGTTTGATGCTGCTGCAGTGGTAACTCCTCTTGATTATGCTATTTAATTCTGAAGCTGATGTCTTGCTTTGTTCAATTAGATTCCTTTTCATCTCGTGACCCGCCTATGGGACACATACCTCGCTGAAGGTGATGCATTGCCAGATTTCCTTGTGTACATATTTGCCAGTTTCCTTTTGACGGTGAGGGTCATAATCACTTCTGGTTTCATGTTTGAAAGTGTTACTTTTATAATAACTACTCTTTTCCCGATGCCTGTGAAAATGATTGATAGCTTTTCCATATGATGCTAGTTTTTTAGATGATAAGAAAACTATTACAAGCATGCTGTAACTGTTTCATTCAAAGGAACTTGAGTTTTCATTTGCAGCTTTCAATTTTTTTAACTAACTTTATGGTTGGTTTTCTGAATTGCATTCAAAGCATGTAACGTGTACGATACTGGTTTTCCAATAATGCATTTTACAAAAGCATTGGTTTCTTAAATGATGTGAAATGCCATCCAAATGCTAACTCTAAATCAGTAGTTTGCAAATTCTATCTATTCTATATCATTGGCTTGTCCTTCTCTTGCTTGACGATTCAGATGAATCTTTGCACGTTTTAGTGAGAATATTTTGCATCGCATACTTACAGTGTTCTCTTACCTTTTTACCAGTGGTCAGAAGAGCTTCAGAAGCTTGATTTCCAAGAGTTGGTGATGTTTCTTCAACACCTACCAACTCAGAATTGGACGCACCAAGAGCTCGAGATGGTGCTCTCTAGAGCATTCATGTGGCACAGTATGTTCAACAGCTCCCCCAGCCACTTAGCAAGCTAGAGAGGAAGACATATTCTTCATTTGTTAACAGCCCTGTTTCGGTTTCCTTTTCCAATAAATTTTGTTTTCCATTTTTTTGGGGGGTTCCTGTAGTGGTTCATAATCTACAAATGTATGTGCTATCTCTATTCTAGTTGAGGAGATCAACCGATGTTGTCATTTGTGTCGTTGCTTGTAATATTTCTGTGTATTTCAAGCATTTCCTTGTACATTTAACCATTCTAACTAAAAGAAAAGTTACTTCGTATAACAATTTTCAGAGTTCACCATTTTGTATCACTCCCCCTTAGTTTCTTCCTGGTCCTCGAAGATGATCTATTTCCATTCTCTGTCTGCAGAAGACTTTTCAGAAATACCAAATGAGGTTCATGGACCTCAAAACATCTCTGTTTATATATATAAACATATAGAGATACAGGTATAGTTTTGAATGGTTAATGCGGTGGTAAAAAAATTACAATTGCAGGTAATAATTTATTGATGTCTTCAATGCATTAACTGTTGTTAATAAATTTATTTTAATTTATATATATTTAATAGTTTTACTAATTACATATAACATCTCATATATTCATTACAAAATATTTGTAAGTACGATTTCAAATAGATTCAATTTCTTTTTTTAAAAAAGAGAGAGAGAGAGAAATTGAAAGAAGAATATATGTGTACATAACGGCAATTCAGATTTTGACAGGCACGAGAATTCTAAATATGCTGTACATCAAAATTCATACAAAGTTTTGTCATCCCATGTTCCTCAACTATTCTAATGCTCTGTTCTTTTAACAACTCCTCGCTTGAGCTCGTCTGCTCTGCAGCTTTAACAAAAGTACAGATCACATCTGCTTTGCAGGAACTTAAAGCTAAGTTTCTAGCCTTCTGACAGTTAAGCGTAGTACTGCAAATCAGGCAAAATAATGTTTGCGTTCTAAGCACTGGAAATCTTCAAATAAGATCGACCACGACCCTCTTTACCTGAGGAAAGATAATGCGAAGTATCCAAGTCAAAGACTCAGTTTGAACCAACCCAAGTTCTTACAATCATGTAGAAAAATTACCACAGCCATACATGTAGTGTACTCGTTTTTACATGGTTGAGTTCACCAAATGTAGTTCCCAGTCAACATAAAGTTGCATGTTTGAAAGAAAACTGAAAATCAAAATGAAGTGCAAAAGACAGCATAAATCAGGATTCAGGCTAGGTTGTCACATGGTGCCAGCATGCCTCGGTTTTTTTCCTTATCTTTCCCTACTTTGCTTCTATCATCAGATTTGCCGAGGAAAAGAACTACCCTATTCCATTAAGAAGTGTTTCTATATCAAAAATAGCTGGGACAATGTCATCCCTTAAACAAAAGATTTTGTTATCTGCAAGGAAGCTTCTACTTGGTCCTCATCCATCATGCAAGATGTGGGATTATTTAACTAACCAGAGATAACACAGAAGATGGTAAGGTCTATTACATCTCAAAATGAAATTCCTTATCAATATGAAAGTGGTTTTGAAGCTGGTCCTACTATTCAGTCTAGAAAAATGACAAACCCTAAACATAATACAGGATTAAGACAAAGCCACAAATTATTCCATGTTCTTTCGGACCATAATCTATGACTAGTCGACAAATTGTTCAAACTAAGAAGGGCTGAATGTATTCTGGTTTCCACTACCAATGGTTGGTCCCAAACTGCATAATCTGATGCCATTTTCTGATTTCCTCATGAACAACAAGACAGACCAAATGAATAACGAAAGTAACTGGATAAAGGAAAAGGCTGGGAACTTACATTTTTCTTCTTCTCAACTTCTTCAAGGAATTTCTTAGGATAATCCATATAATTGCCACATTCTTTCTTTATGCCATCTACAAGCTTTTCTTCCCCAGCATACTCGAGGTTCCTAATCAAAATTCTAAAAGTCAACTTATCCGGGTCACAGCCCGATGCCTTCATTCTTTCATATGTTTCCATTGCCTTGTCAATCATACCCACTTGCAGATAAGCCCCAATCATCTCAGTGAATGCTCTCGTATCTGGTTTCAACCCTTCTTCTGTCTCCAATTTGCCAAAAAATTCCTCAGCCATATCAATCATTTTGTTCCTTCCCAACATCTGGATCATCGCATGATACAATAATATATCTGGCTTGTACCACACTTCCTTCCTCACAAACTCAAACACCTAAACCCCTGACCCCATTTCAGATATCCAAAACAAAAAACAAAAACACAGTCCACTATATACAACAAAACTGCTAAACACACATGCATCCGTCACAACTGTCCAATCTCAACGGTTACCTACCCACAGATTACAAGCCTACATTTCTTCATCAACCTACCTATATCAGACAACATCTGTTACTTCTGTCTAATCAAGCATTCAACGAGAAATTATTACATGAACCTGGTCATTGTCTTCATTTCCTACATTAACTAGTTAAACCAGTAAAATCTAGTGCACAACCAATGAAACAATGTTCGGTCTAATGGCCTGAGTACCTGTAAAAATTACTTATAAATCCCACACATTTCTTGCACGTATAGTTCAGATTGGACAGTCGTGACAGAAGCAATTATGCTTAGCATTTCTCTAGGTACAGTAACAAAATAATAACAGAAGTAAAAGTCTTTTCCTTTTTACCTTGAGGGCCAAGTCCAATTCATTTTGGTTTTGCAAGACGGCAAGAGTATCCAATAAGTCAGTTTTGAGCAATCTTGCGAGCTTACTATTGAAGATTTCTTCTATTCTTGGCGTGGATGATCTAGCCAACTTGAGAGACTGTATAGCTTGGATGGCTTCAGTGGATAATCTCTTTGCCCTCCACAAAGGTGGCCTTGGCTTCCCTCTTAGACTGCAGGTGATGACTGAGGAACGAGGAAGGTGGGGTTTTTGTAGGGTTTTGTGGAAGTTTAGTTGTGGGATTTGGAATTTGAGAGAACCCATTGGTGTCGATTTCATGGCAGTACTGTGGAACGGATATGGGAAGGGAGGAGAAGTTATAATTCTTGGTCAAATACAAATTAGTACAAAATTTTTAATTTATTTTCAATCCAGTCCCTGAATGTTTAATTTGTTTTTTTCTATGGTGAACTCATTTTTCATGTTTATATTAAAAACCTACGAAAATACTAGGCTTTAGCATTTTAACATTTGAAAAGTACCATAAGTAAAATCAATTAACTTATAATAAATTTTATATTAAGTAGGATTATTAATATGTCGATTCGGACATATTTACGTTAACAAGAGATAGCATCTTATATTATAATGTTAATAAAATTATCTACATTATCAATTGGCATATGTTTTATAATATGCATCATATCGTCGTGTGACTAAACTATAACAGCATCTTTTGTTTGATGTTTATTTTGATTTAGTGATAGATCTAATGTGTCTTGCGTTATACAATTAAAAATAATTCTATTTTATTACATAATTATAATTAAAAAAATTATAGTTACAAAACTCGAATCTTAAACTATCAAATACCTAACTTTTAGAGGTAACTTTCTTCTTTCCTCTGGTATTAATTGGTGCATAACATTGTAAAATCTAATACACTTGGAAGTAACAAAAATCAAATGATTTTTTTTTCCTTAAATTTTTTGAGAATGTAATTGATGCAAACATTGAAGGACCAAATTGTAGCTTTGACATGATCATGTAATGCTACAACGACATGTCGTTGAAAGCAATCCTACCCATCTCCCCAAATGCCCAAGAAAACGAAGAAATCAGGGACCTCAAAAAGCTGAAGAAGAAGATTAATCAAAGATGGGAATATCAGCCTCAAAACGAGTGAAAACAACACTATCCAACTCACAAGAATTCAACTCAGCTTGTGACTCAACCTTCACTCACTGCCTCTCCCTAACCCAACATGCCTTCCAAAGCGTCCTCCCTTACCAACTCCCTACCGCCGCCACTCACCTTCACACCATCCTCACCACCACCCCCACCGCAGCCCCACTAATCCTCAAGTGGGTCCCATCTCCACCAACCCGGACCCAAATTGACCGGGCCCTCAGGATGGTCACAAACAAGAAGCCAGGGCCGGCCCATGAGGAGAAAGAGGGGTTGATTCTTGGGTCTGCCCAGTTTAGAGAGTGGGCTTTGGTTTTGTTCACCGAGGCCGCTGTGGGTAATGCTGGTAAGGCTATTTTGGGTCGGCTGCCACTTGGGGTCGCCGGGATCTTGGGTGTTGGCGCGGTGGTGAAGGGTGGTACAGAGGTGGTGGGGGCGGCGATTGGGGTTTACGCCCTCGGTGTTGCTACTTCTGTCTATCTTAGTTTGTCTGGTTAAGGTTCCTCTGTTTGAGGAGTTTTGTCTGTTTGACACGTGGGGATTATTTTATTGCTATTTGTATGTACTACCTGTCGTCTATGGTAGTACCATTGATGTTGTTGGATCCTTAGCAAAATGTTTGATGTTAATATAAAAATATTTTGTTATATTAACAATAACGGTATGTTTAGATCAATTCTTGTTTGTCTTTTTATTTAATTTTGATGGTATAACTCCAAAAGGTAGAATAATCTTTCATTAGTTAATCGGATACACAAAAAGAATATAGCTAAACAAAGAGTTTTATGCATATATAAATATTCGAAGCTTTTGAAAAATAAATATGAAGATTAATTCTTAAAAAACAATCAATACTATTTGTAATAGTGTTTTTAAATCCCACCCCTAGCTACTATAACATCATTATGGACACTCATTTTCCGAGCTTGAGGAAAGATAACCGAAGAACTACTTACTTTGCTCGTCGAATGATATTCTTTTTCAAGTATGGAACCATCCTCTCGCTAGGCATTTACGACATTTTGTCTAATGATACTATAATTGTTTGTGTTTTGAGACCTTAGTTTTGGCTTCGTCTCTTGGAAAAAAAAAAAAAAAAAAAAAACCTCGAAACTAAAACTATTTACCTAAGTAATTGAAACTCTCTCTCTCTAAACTAACCCTTTCGGGTGTTACAAGATTTTCCTTGCAATGGGCAAGGCACAATTAATTAATAATTAATTTGTTGGTGGGAGGAAGATTCTAATGGATTGCCTATAAAGCAAGGCATGTTTGTTGTGCTTCTTTCAATTTGTCAATGTAATCGCTACAAAAAGTATGGCGACACGTTGTTACCTTCATCACAATTATGGGATCCATGCAAATAGAATAATAGAAGATTGGTTATACTAATCTCTACCAATTAGACATTAATAAAACAAGGTAAACCTTCAATTCATGTCAACACTCTATGTAATTTTGTTTGAATAATGAAACTCAAGTCAAATCGATCCAAATCTTTCTTGAACCGTAAATTATTTAATTTAAGAATCGATCTTTCAATTTTTAATTTTAGATCGGATATTTTTTCAACTAGCTTTCATTTGAAAATATTGAATTTCTTTTTTATTAAATTTTCATCAATTTTAACATATAAATATAATTTCTCAATAGTTAAAAAAATGCAAAAGATATGAATACTTTACTTTTCTTTTTATAATTTGTTTCTTTCTTCGTAAATGCTAAGAAGTCAGCAGTTAAGTTACATTTTAGAATAAAAGAAAAACATTTTTGGAGAGAAAAATAAGGTATTTATAAGTTTTGATATACTTTTAACTATTATAAAGATTAAAAAGTCAATCACTTGCAAGTTATATATATTTAATACATTAGAATTAATAAAAAATCTAACACAATGATTTAATTTTAAATGAAAAATAGTTGGAGGAAAGTCCAACAAAAAAAAAAGTTAAAGGATTGATTCTCAAATAACTTAAAATTCAGAAGAGATTTAAACCATCTATCCAAATTAAAAAATAAAAATAAAAAGAAAATTAACTTGTCTCATGTTTTTCACAACTTGAATTACTTTGAATCGAAAAAAATAAAATAAAAAATAGTGTGAGTAATTATATATGCGCTTTTTTTTTTCTATTTACTCTCAAAACAAACTTTTGATCATCATGACTTGATTAAACATAACCAAATTTAATCTAAGCATAGAGATTACACTATTTGATAGTTAAAAATTCAGACAATAAATTAGGAAAAAACAAATTAAGAACCATAACTGAATCAGAGGAACATCATCTGAGAATTTCTCAGCAATTCCAAAGCTTATGATCTCGGAAAATTCTGTCGGCACGTCGCGGACCAGGAAAAAAGGAGAAAGTAAAGAAATTCTGTAGTTCTTTAATGGCATCTACCATGGAAGGAATGACAGTGCCAATGAAGATGGACCAAAGCAGCAAGCCAAGAAAAATGGCGAAGAACAAAAGATTTATGATAATAAGCATTTCAAAAAGGAAAAATGCATGCATAAAATATAGAGAGAAGAAAAACAAGAGTCCTGATGGTTAATTTGCTCCAGCAATCCAATATCATGTAGAGAAAGAACGTATTTAATAAGATTTGAGGCAAACTATGCAGAATCTCCATTGATGAAGAGATGATATATCACAAAAATAAATTGCAGGTGTTTTATTTATTTTTTTGTTAGTTTTAATGATGTGATTAAATCACGAATTTAAACCATAATAGATTAGTTCTGTTGGAAGATTTTGACGTGTGAGTTAAAAAAATAATGTGATTAGATTGATTTTCATTAAAAAAAATATTTGTTGAAAATGTCAACAACAGCCACAATGTATGTTAACCAAATAATAATAACAATAATAAGAAAAAATTCTGTGTTCTTGAAGGTCTTTTTTTTTCCCCTAATATACATTATATAACCTTGCACGTTAACTATATATGAGATTTCAATTCAATATTTATAGGTCAACCCACGAGGATGGCTTATGGTTCAAATCCTACATTTAATAAATTATATGTAAGAATCTTCATCTCCATTCTTGTAAGCCAGCAGTCAAATCTACGATTCTTATTTGAAATAAATAAAAAGTTCATGAAATTTTATAAGAAATCTTCTTAATTGATGCATAACTAATTTAAAGACATCTTTTGTTATTAAATAAAAAGTAAATATATTCATTTGTTATTATATAATATTCAAAAATTTTCATATGCCTTTAGATTTCTATTTGCATCTTATTTATTTCTGACAAATTTTTGAAGTCTTTAGAATTTTATTTTATTTATTTATTTTTCATTTCAATCAAGAACATTTCGGTTAAAAAAAATTATTTAGTCAAAAAAATTAATTGGAAAGACTTATTGAATATTTTAAATATTTTTAGAGACAAATTATATGCAATTAAAAAATTAAAGACATATGGACAATTTAGAATATTATATAAAAACAGAGGAGCTTGTATTTACTCTTAAATAAACATAAAAATTAAGAAATCCGGTCAATTAATGTCAACATTGGAAGATATAAACTCAATTAATCAAAATGATTGAAGAAACAAATTATTACTGCTGTATACGTATATATGATCTAGATATATGGCCATGAGATATGTATTGAGAAGAAACCAAGTTTGTAACAACTTAGAAAATACTTGTTAAGTATTGATGTGATCATTCGAGAAATGTCAACAACAACCATAATGTAATCTATGTACATGCACTTTTTTATTTCTTTATGGATTTTTTTTGACATTTCAATCATGAATATTTCAGTTAAAAAAAATTATTTGGCTAAAAGAGTTGACAAAAAAAAAAAAAAACATTTCAAATACTTTCAGAAATAAATGAGATGTAATTAAAAATTTAAAGACGAGATGAAAATTTTTAAATATTATATAAAAACAGATGAGCTCGTATTTACTCTTCAATAAACATAAAAAATTAAGAAATCTGGGTCAAGTAATGTCAACATAGGAAGATATAAAGACAATTAATTAATCAAAATGATTGAAGGAACAAATCATTACTGCTATATATGTATATATGACCTACATATATATGGCTATGAGATATGCATCGAGAAGAAACCAAGTTTGTAACAACTTGGAATATACATGTTAACCATTGATGTGATCCTTCTAGAAATGTCAACAACAACCATAAATAATGTAATCCATGTATAAGCATTTTCTATTTCTTTATGTCAAACATGTTTAGGTGAGTTTAAGAATTAGAATGGATTACTCTTTTAAAGTAAGAGAATTATATCTTGATCGAGTTCAAAACTCATATTTATCCTTCAATTGTTAATCCGAATAAAAAATAAAAATCAAGCTAGGTTAGAGTTTCTCACGGTAAAAATATATTTTCACCGATTTATAGGGTATGATTAAGCAGCTATATAATTCAAAGTTTTAATTAGTGGAACCTTAAATATCATTAATTGCAGTCTAAGTGGTATGATTAAGAAGCTATATAATTCAAAGATTTTTTGTTGCTTCCAAGCTAAAAGCACCTTCAAGAAATTAACAAGTTTAGATTGACATAAGTGGGGTAATCAATGTCAACATAGGAAAGATGATCATGTATAGAATTGATCAAATGACCGAAAAAAAACATTTGTTTTTTTGGCACCGTTGTTGAATGGTGAACAATTGAAGCAAAGACAAAACGTATTTGGTGGTTACAAGTCATGTCAAGTCAAGATTCTTAAGTTGATAACACCATTGAATCGTTGTGGGTGGTTAGTTTTGAAGTTACTTTCACGAGTGCTTGATTACATCATAGTCACCAGATAAACCCTGAAAAATTGATGTCCTACATATGCTTATATATATATATATATATATATATAAAATAAAAATCACGTTTTCTAATTCTGACTAAACTTGCTTCTTCTCCCCCAATGCAATATAGGTCTAGGATTAAAATTAAGTACTAGCTAGCTGGGATGAATTGGAGTGTCCAAGTTCGAAATTGTGTTTTTTTCATTTTAAACGATTGTTAGGAAGCTGTCTATATTTGAAAAAAATATATACATTATATATGTTGGATATGTATGCACGGAATCTGTCTATGTTTGAAGAGATATGTTACGTTGGATCTATTTGATATATAATTGTTTTTTTTTATTTCAATATGAGATATTTAGTATTTACATGTGCACACAACGACCATAATTTAAAAAGAAAGAAAGAAAAAAGAAAATGCACGTTATTTATGGAGAAATATCACTATTATGTTTATGGATATTAAGTTTTATTAAAATTTTCTCCCATGATCTTCTACTAATAGCAAAAAACAAAAGCCATATATAGAAAATTAAGAAGATGCAAAGGGTTATCGCGATCGATACATGAAGAACATCTATGCATGGTTGACGTCCTCATTCACAAAAATTAACAGAGCCCTTCCATTACTATTTCTTTACTACTCCTCCATGGAAAACTAATTAAGCCATGGAATCTATCTATAAGTTTCAGTATTAGGTTTCATTCTTATTCTATGTTTTACTATTTAAGAAAAAGAAAGTACAAGCCATGCAGCAACATACCCATTAAAATCAATTCATAGCGATATGTAACCAATAATAATAATTATTATAATTAGCATATTCTACGTTCACATACTTCAATTTTTACATGTAAAATGATCGTATAAAGTAATAAAATATAGATATTAGTATTTTGATCTGTCTATATACAAATCCGCACATACACACGAGCACACGCACGAACATCGATCATATATTGAACCAAAATGTTCTAATTGATTAGTGCAATACACTAAAGTTTCTGCAACTTCTACACATAGAGCTGTGATTTGCAATATAATATGGCTAGTGCCATATACTAAATACGTCTTGTTTAGCATATGTCTGCCTAATTATATTTGTCAATGCATTTGTGTAGCATCTAGGTGTAATTCTAATTAACCTACTGGTTGCTTACATTTGTATATCTGAAGTGAATTAATTTGAAGGGAGATTTCATATCACCATCATAATCCACTAACTAGAGTTTCCAGCAGATAAAAAATCAATAAATGGAAATCCAGCCTTGCACTGATGCAATTCCTTGGCTTCTTGATCAACCTCAACATCATCTCTTCTTGTGTTGTCTATCACTTCGCTTTTACTAGACTCGGCCTTTAGTTGGAGAAAATCATAAAACTCGAGAGGTTGATTTTTACCTGCAATATTTATGCAAAACATGCAAGCATTAAGAAATCGAAACTCACACAAACAGACATAGTCTAATGGTTATGTATCTAGTAGCTTCCTTTTGTGAAAGAGGTAATCCTAATAATATCAGTTTATTTAATTATTATGTAATGAGAAACGATTATCTTTGTTGTATATCCCAAGGTTCACAGGCCTCCCGGTGAACCGAAAAAAAATAAAAAATCAAAACTCGAACACTAATAAATTAACAGTTTTGATCAACATATATAAACTTGGCCCGTATGATATTTTTCCATGAAACTCTACCTAAGAGTGTAAATTTTGATGTTTGATGGTGATCTTCTGTAGTTACCTTCATAATGGCCAGGGTTTTCGTTGTCGAAATTTTTGCAAATTGATGGATAGTTGCGAGGGAAGAGATGATGATCATGATAGTGATCATAAGTTTCCAAGTATTTGTGGACAAATGACGAAGCGATGTTCCTTGGCTGACAATTCATGATCCTGACATCTTGATTTGAGAAGGAATGTTTCTGTTCATTGACCAATAACGTTTGTACTTCTCTTGTTGCATGAATCTTCGATCTTTCTCTACATTTTCTTGCCATGATTACATGCCAATGGTTCTTCACAGCATTATCAGTACGACCAGGAAATTGCCTTGCAATAACAGCCCATTTATTGCCATGAATCCGATGACAAGCAAGGAGCCTCTCTTCTTCCTCTTGTGTAAAAGGACTTCTTTTGATTTTTGGATCCAACTGATTAAACCATCTCAACCTACAACTCTTCCCTGATTTAATAATTTACAATTTTCTTGGGTTAGTTATCAGTCACAATCGTATGAAAAATCAAGCATGACCAGTTCAATAAGTAAAAATAAATTACAATAATTGGAAAATCATGTTAAGATAGAATTATTTTGATTTAATCTTCACCTGATCTTCCTTGAAGCTTTTCTGCTATGGCGTTCCAATTATGAGGACCGTACTGTTCCACCAACTCCACAAGCTTCTCGTCTTCAGCCGGCCTCCAATGGCCTCTGGTACACATCTGATGATCTTCCAACTAATACAACAAGCAACAGCTATCGAAAAAAAAAAAAAACCCTAGCTAGCTATATTCAAAGCTAGGGTTAAGTAATAGCATATACAAAGTTGAAACCCTAGCTAGTTCCTTTGCTAGCTGTTCTTCTGTTCTTGATAAATATTAGGTATGAGGAAGTTCTTGGGATATTTGTAAGAAATCAAGAGATGGTGAGATGAGAAAAGTTTTGATTCGTTAGAGAGTTGGGAGGGTTTGGACCGACCTTTAGCAGAGATTGATGCAACGTCTAGGCTAACAAACTGTTAGAAGTCATCACCGATAGGCATATCTTAATTTGTTGTTTATGTTTGTGTCTGTGTTTGGGTTTGGGTTTGGGTTTGTGAGAGAGGAGGTTGAAAAGATCCTTTCAACATCTTTGCAAGTTTCTAACCTACAACTTCTACTTATAACCCACCTAGCATTTTGTTTTTAAAAAAAAACTATAAAAAGATAAGTTGTATTTGGACAACAAGATGGTTTTATGTGTCTTTGTACAAGTAATCTTTATCTATGTTTTGATCTAGACAAAGAAACACAGTTTTAAATAATAGTATTATTGACTTGGAGTATAAAAATATTAATATGCATTTATAAGTTTTTTTTTTTTATTGAATGGATAAGGTATTTTCAGATTAGCTACGTGTTAATCAAGTTTTTTTTTTCCTAAACGATCTTAAAAGTATATTTTTTACATCACTCTATGCATTCAAATAATGTTTTTTTTTAAAATTTCTTGAGCGTGCTAACTCTAAAATTTGAATTCAAAAAATCAAGAAAATGAGTAAATATTTTTATCCACCAAACCAATCTTTTGAAGTTCCTTACATTAAGTCTAAATTCTAAAATATTGCATTGATATAATAAATAGTGAGCATGGTTAGAGTTATAATATTATAGAGTTTCTTTTCTTTTAATACATATTTGACTCGAATCTCTTTTTTATAACAAAAATAAATAAATAAATTAACGATTCTTATTAAAAAATGATATCAGATCCCCAAGGTAAGATTACTTTGCATTGTATACTCTAAAAATTTATTCACCTTCTTGATTTTTTAAAGAATTTAATTCCAAAGTAATTTTCTAATGAATTATAATTTGCAAATTTCATTTAGTGCTAATAGAGGAAAGGTTGGTGAACTTGTTAAGACTTCGTGATCTTTACAACTGCATGAAGTGTTTTCTAGGATTTTGGTTTTGATGATCGATCACCCTTTCTACCTATTTGACTAACATTTTGCCTAACAAATTCAATAATGCATGTTTTCAGCAGCTCCATTGGAGTCCAACATATTTTCCTTGTTTTAGACCTAAGGTCAGTTAGACTGTAATTGGACTGACCATAAATAAATTGTTAAAAAAATTCTTAAGATTGCTTAGAACATTAGGAATCCTATCACAAGAAATTTCTTCTTTGGAGATCAATAAGTTTTTTATTTTTAATCCTAGTTATGGTATGCCATCCGATCAATCTGTACATTTATTGATATACATATATTTTTTTTTTTAAGTGATCGATTTTTAGACACGCCTCCTACTTTATATTGGATATATTTAGAAAAATTTAATAAATTAATATTGTTAAGTTTTTGTTTTCTTCCCGAGAAGTAAAAGATTGCCAAGTTATCGTCACCTCAACAAATTATGTTTTTGGACATGTATGAGTCTTGTTGACCGTTGGCCTACCGTATTCTTCAATTCCTTTGCTGAAAAATAGTGAGCAGGGAAAGCCATCTCCCATCTTACGCCCACCACCATACCAAGAAAAGCATTTTCCAAGAGATCAGCAAGTAGTAACTGTCGCTAACTACTAACAAAACCCTTTCTGAAAATTTTTATAAATTATTACCTTTAATTTTGTAAAATTAATTAAATAATTTTTGTTATTTAAAAACTAATTATTTAGTTCCTTATAAACCAACGTTGATCATAATTAATTTAATATGATTTTATTTTACACAAATCTTTTTTTCCTTATTAATCTTTACATATTGTTTACTTTTTTTTTAATTATTATTGCTCTTATTAATTTTAAATCCAACGAGTTCGATTAGGTGAGAGGAAAAAAAGGTAATTAATTAAAGGTCTAGGATGTCTTTCTATTATTTTATTTGTCTTAATCGTGTCTCTCTACTAGTTTTTTCTATAATCGTATCCCTCTACTCTTAATTTGCATCTTAATTTCGTCCCTTTGGTCAAATTTTTCGATAACTACATCAATTTCAAACGACAAACTCATAGGATGCTGACACATAGCTTTTTTAAAAAATTAAAAAAATCTGAAAATAATGATACATCTGGCCTTCAACAATCAAGACCGAAATGAAAACCTCCCAGCTGGTCTAGGCATTGTATTCCAATTTTTTGGATTGAAAACTGGTGAAACTGCAATATGGATATAATCTTTTCTTGGGGCAAACATCCTTCTTATCTAGTTGGCCACCAATAAAACAAACAAAATTAGAAGGATGTTAGCCATTTCTTTGGTTAGTAGATGAATCTTGTTGAGCTTATACGTGCCATTTGATCATGGAGAGAATGTTAATTTGTATGATTATGAACATCCTTCTTTGGTTAATCCACCTACCTATATATGCTATCAATATTAATCACTAAAAACAAATTAATTACGACAAGTTTTTGTGGCATGCTTACACCCCCATTAAAAAAAAAGCTTTGAGTATACAGCAAACGACTTGTCATCACGAGCAGAGTAGCACGAGACCACGAACCACATGTCATGTTTACACAAATTTCCAAATGATCGTAATGGATAATAAATGTTCATGACAAACATGTTTACACAAAAACTTAGATCAAGAAATGGGAACTCTGAATTTGTACAACTTCAGAAAAATTGGACCGATGGAAGGCATACAAAGATACAAGGAAGATAAGAACTCACATTGTTGAACTTGTTTTTGTGAAATTATGTCATGGGAGAGAGGCAAGACCGAAGGGGTAAATGGGAGATGAAGATTTTGGTAGAGTCTTATTCTTCCTCCACTTCAAGGCCTGGTATGTATTCCAAGCTGACATCAAAAACTATAGGACTATTTGGTGCCACCCTTGGCCTTCCTGGAGCTGAAGGGAGTCCTTTAGGGAATGCCAACTATAAACAAGAATAAGCCATGGAAACAACATGATCAGAAGCTTGATTACAAATAGAGATTCTTGTTTGGTTCTGAAGAAAACACATTGAAAGATGTGGCTAACAGCGAGACCATCTCATCTCGTGACGGCAATGGAATTTTCTCCTAGCTAGCTCTTTAAATCTCAAGACAGTGCAGAGCGAAGAATGGTGGGAATATCATTGGTCTAATGTAGGATTTCCATCAAACCTAGACCAAGTCAGCTGATAGGCTAACATTCTGCAGTTATCTACAATTTTTCTCATTTGGTTGAAGAATGAGCAGAATGTGAATAAATTACCGGTCCTGGAATATAGAGCCGGCGCTTCCCTCCTATTTTCATGCTCAGGATCCCTTCATCAAGTCCCTTGATCACCTATTCTAGTCATTCAAATTGAGAAAATCAATGGCAGTGCATTTCCTGTTACTTATATACTAGTCATCAGAGTTTAACTTTACGGCATTATGCTTACCATGTAATGAAATTTAGAGATCATTCCACAAAATAAAGACCATGTGGCACTATTTATCCACCCTCAGATTGATAAACAAATATCGAAACGAATATATTTCGACTTACAGATGCAATAGAAAAAAATCAGAATTTGCAATTATGGAGCAACACGGCCAAGCTTAACATGGATTACCAATTATGGAGGTTACCTGACCGGAGCCAACACGAAAGATATAGAGCTGCCCTTTCTCCAATGAACTGTAAAAGGTAAGACAAACAATGTAAGAAATTGAACAAGTTCTTGTACGCAAAAAGCCACCACAGTTGCCAACTCTCCCCTGCTCCCTTCACACCTAGACACTAAATTTCACCCTTTTTTTTCAAATTATTCCACCATCCAAAACTTTATCATTAGATATCACTAACTGATCATAAAATCGACAAATTACCTGTCAAATATTTGCCCAGATGGAACCATAGCAACATAATTAGCAGCAACCTGTGAGTATGAAATATTAATGATACTGCCATTAGATAGGGTGGACAAATGAAAGAAAATCGTATCCAAGTAATGGGAGCCAAAGCGGTCAACAAGTAAACCTGGCCTAATTGCCAACTCCTTGTTGTTTTCTTTACTGAAGAAATTTGTGTGGTTACAAAGTTTAGTTTGCCCAGCATAGAAAAACACATCTTGACAGAAAAAGCTCAAATTTTTGTGCAAGCCTAGCTAATTCTTTCCAAGCAACATTGAAAATTGAGCAAGCATATAGAGTGCATGCTCATTCTGGTGTGAATATGGATAGAATTGGTGAATCTTGGAAGCCAGAAATCGGTCACTAGAGCATCATTTACCTGAAAACCAACTGGAGGACTAGGGCCTTGACCAACTTTAATATCCTTGAACTGCAATCCAGACTCTGTAGTCACCATTGGCACCTTCATTAACAAAGAAGATTAATGCAACCCAGAATTTGAAATGATCAATCTTAACAAATTAAGAAAAGGGAGTCTATGTAATAATCTCACCATACATTTTCAAGCTCTTTCTCGCAGTTTTCATCACATAATCTTGGCTTATCTTCTGGTGGCAATCCTGCTCCTTTGGCAATGCTATCAAATGAGCTTACATTACAAAGACCGGAAACCCCTAATAGCAACCCTATTACATGATCCCTTCTCTTAATTAAACCTTCATCCACCTTCTTCTCTCTTGCTCTTGAAGCTCTAATTCTAAGTTCCAAGTTTGAGCATTGCACATTGTTCATCAAACCTTGGACTTTGTCAAAGACATCGATAGTCCCATGTCTTTTGGTAGTCCTGCCAGAAGAAGAACCTGCGACAATAAAGGTGAAAAATGAACATTATTGGAAAGCTGAAGTGGTATGGAAGGTGAAGAAGAGATTGATCGATTACCAAGTGGGAGCAGAAGAGAAGGAGGAGAAGAACAAGAAGCCATCTTTTTCGGTTTCCAGAGAAAAATGAGTGAGGTGTCTGCAATGTCTGAAAGTGGATAACGAAATCTTGTTGGTTATTTAACTGTTGCTGACCTGGCTCCTATCTGGTAACATCCGTACACTAATATTTTGCCTTTCAATTTATTTAAAAATATAAAATATAAAATTTAATTGATTTGGTTTTCCTTTGAAGTGCTTGAATTGCTATGAAAATCGATGCATTTGAGGAATATTAGTAAATATGAAGTCAATTAGATTTTTAATAACATACGTGGTCCACTCATTGTGCGAATATGATTGAAATAAAAAAATTATAATTATTAAAAGTCAAATCTTACATAAAAAAAAAAAAATTATCAAATACACGAAAGTGAAACTAAACTTATTAAAAAATGTATAAACTAATTAAAAAATATATAAATATCAATTTATTTAACAACAATAACAGCCATCGAGTTTTGAATTAGATGAATAAATAGGTTTTTTTTTTCTTTTATTATCTACTCAAGAAAAGATCATAGTAAAGTAATTTATTGAGAATATATCAATTTGTATATTAAAAACGGGTTAACAATTTGTGTTGTTTTTATACTATAAGCAAATGATTAATCACTCTTATTCAAACTTAAGTATTAATTGAATTTTTATATTGAATTAATTTATTTAATATAAATTCTTTTTTAGTACGCTTATGGTGTTAAATAAATTATATAATCAAATGACACATATCTTTGACCTCGTTGGTCCTATTAATTATTTTTTCAATACATTTTTTTTATTTTAATAAGTATTGTTGAAATTATTTAAAAAAATGAAAAGAAAAGGATAAAGAAAAAACTAATACAATTTAACAGCTTAATGTCCTCCCTATCCTCCTTAGCTTTTTTTCGATTTTTTTTATAATTTTAATAAATAGTTTTTTTAATAAAAAATAAATAATAAAATCAACAAGATCAAAAAATATGTATCGTTTGGTTATAAAATTTACTTAATACCTTCAGGAAAATTACTTATATCAAATAAATTGATTTGAAACTAATTAAAATTTCAATTCACACTAGTAAATATTAAATAAATTATAAATAACATATTCAATACTTAATTATTTAATATTTAATATTTAATATTTAATAAATTCAGTACTTAATTTTTAATTTTATCAAATTTCATCTTAATTTCCATATGTGAGTAGGGGTAAAGATGGGCCTTTTAAGCTTGGGTTTTCACTAACTAGTCTAGATGAAACATGATTTGTTTATTGGGCTTGGTTTTATAGAACCAACACAACGACTAATTAGCCCATTTCTTGACCCTCTGCTCAAGCAAGTCTCTGCTTCTCACTATGTTTCGCTAAAATCCCTAAACCCCTTCTCTGTCTCTCTCTACTTCTCGGCGCTATAAACCCTAAACCCTGTTTTCTCTCTGTCTAGAAGACTAGCTAAGGTGGGGTATCACTCTTTTTCTCTTTGCTTCTTTCGTTTTCTTTGCAAAAGATGTTCTTTTTAGTATTTTGTGAACGTTTTAGGCATCGAATTTTCGTATCTTGTTGGTTATTTCAGCTGGGTTCTTGTCATTTTGAACAAAAATCAAGAAAATAGAGATCTCAAAACTTGAAGTTTGCTACTTTTGCTTCATTTCTCTTAGTAACCTAGCAAGTTCTCTCCTTTCTTCAAAGGGTTCGTGTATTTGCTTTTATGAAGTCCAAACTTCATTTCTTTTTGTTTATTTTGTTAAAATTTGTGTGCCCAGAAAGCAAAGTTATAAACTTTTGTTTTCTAGATTGAGCTCCCTTGATGGGCTTTATTAGTTTTGTTTTGTAGAGTATGAAATGTGAAAATGGGAAATAAACTAGCTTTTTGATTAGATATGATGTTAACATTACAGTTTACTTTTGGTTCATGATGTTGGTTTCACCTTTGTTAATGTGAGTGATACTACGTTCTTAGATGAATTTCAACAATGTGAGAGTACCCAAGGTGCCAGGTGGTGGTGCCGTTGGAGCTCTGATTAAGCTTGGAGTGCTTGGTGGGCTAGGTTTGTATGGAGCTACTAACAGTCTTTACAACGTTGATGGTGGACATCGAGCTATCATGTTCAATCGTATAGTTGGTGTGAAAGACAAGGTTAATTACTTTACTGTGGTCTACGTGAAGAATTTTGTAAAGTTAATGATGGTTGTTTATGTTGCTTGTTGGCAAATCTGACTCGCTTCTCATATTTGGTTTTCACGAATACCCTTTTTTTGATTAGGTGATGCTCATCTGTATTGTTAATTCTTCTATTTAGCTCGTCATGCTGCTCTCTTTTACATTTTGCAACCTTAATCAATGTTTTTTCGAACAGACTTATTGATATTATTTGCTAATGAGAAATATGTTGATCCCTTTTGCAATTTCTTGCCTTCAACAATGTCATATAATGGTGGGTGGATGTTGAAAACATACCATCTTCTGTGATTGTCTTTTTATTTGGAAATCAGTGTAGCAGAATACTTGATATGGATAAAAGAATGAAAAATGATTTGCTTGGTGATTTAATATAACCAGAAGAATGTAAAGCCTGCAGGAACCAGCTTGATCACAATTATTCTTTAGATGACTGTCAAATTGCATTATCTTCTGTTGCAATAAGTTCAAATTTTTATGCCCTATTGAGTACTTCCTGACTCATGCTGGGGTGGTTGATTCCTGTTTCATTGGTTGAGGTTGGGGCAGGGTTTGACCACTTGAAACTAGAGTTTTGATTCACAAATCACAATTAACTCAGCAATGTGGTGGTTGGACTTGTACTTGTACTGGATCGTAGCACCCCACTCTGCCATCATTTAATTTGTATTCTTGATGCTATACTTTTTAATATCTGTATTTTAGTATGTGCTCTAATGTGTATTGTTCAATGACCAGGTTTATCCTGAGGGGACACACTTTATGATTCCGTGGTTTGAAAGGCCTGTTATTTATGATGTTCGTGCACGACCTCATCTGGTAGAGAGTACTTCAGGGAGCCGTGATCTCCAAATGGTAGATGTCTTATGCCTTTCATATTTCCTTAACTTTTTATGATAGCAGAAAATTGCTGGAAACTGCTGGACAACACTTGTTTTGTTGATTCACATAAGGTGGTCGCTGCGAACTCTGAATCTCTTGACTAAAGGACTTGTAATTTTTTTTCTATTTTTTTATAGTAAATGTTTTTATTTTTTCTGTTTAATATTATGTTTCTGCTTTTTGCATATTGGTTATTTTCTATTTAAAGGTGTTCATAATGATGTGATGTCCATGTAAAATCTGAAAAACTTCACTCCTTAGATTATACTCTAGAGACTTGTGAAGATAATCTGCATCTTTGTATAGACTCTCTAACTTCATCCTATTCTTGAATGTATAACATTTTCTCTTTTGGAGCCGGCTTCTGCTTTCCTAGAAATATTCTGCAGGCTCCACTCATCTGTTCGTTTTTTTCTCCAATTTCAAATGTTCTTTCTTTCCTTTATGTGCCTCTCTCTCTCTCTCTCTCTCTCTCTGCATGTAGGTGAAGGCACCTTGCCTGAATGTTTGGTGCACTGGCCATAGGTTCTGACTTGCGCCTTAGGCACACTTCTGTTGCCTTTCTGTGAATTGCAGTTGAACCTTAGGAGTTCAGCTAGATTAGCGTGGTTGTAATGGATGATTGAGAGCTATGAATATAAAAGTTGTGTATTGATGGCGTTTGCCTTTTGATTTGAGAGTATATGAATGTAATTTATGTTATGTATTCCATTGACTTCAGTTTTCTATCTCTATGCATTATATTAAAACCCTTGCAATCTTTCTTTCTGAATTGGTTTTAAAATTGTTAACAGGTCAAGATTGGGCTTCGAGTTCTTACTCGTCCTGTGGCAGACCAGCTACCTGAAATTTATCGAACCCTTGGTGAGAATTATAATGAAAGAGTCTTGCCTTCTATCATTCACGAAACGTTAAAAGCTGTGGTTGCACAGTATAATGCCAGCCAGCTCATTACTCAGAGAGAGGTATCAATCATTCAAATTCTGGTGCAAATTAACTCTCTTGGTTTCATTCATATAACCAGCAAGGGGAAGTGCTTATTTAACATGGTTTTTTTTGTAGATTCTCCATACTTATTAAATTTGTTGAAAAATAACCTTTCCATGTGTATGGTTGATTAGCCATCAATTTGACAACGTGTGTTCGTTGACCTCTGTTTCATGTAGGCTATTGGTAGAGAATTATGGAAGATAATGATCATATTTTCTCTTGTTTTTCATTATTTCCCCTTATTAAATACCACTTCATTTTCAGGATTATAATGTCAACTCTTTCTTTTGTGTTTATGTTGCTATTCAGGCATTATTCTCTGTTGACCTTGGTTTTTTATGGACTGTTAGGATGCTTATATTGTTCCTTGTGTCAGGCATCAATGTAACAGTGGGCATTTATTGATGTTGGTTTTCTGTTAGCCATTCGTAGAGAATTATGGAAGATACTGATAAGATTTTCTCTAGTCCATTGCTTTTGCATTATCTTCTGGATTATATTGGCCATCCTTTCTTGTGTGTGTAGCTGTTCATGCATCACTCTGTGTTGACTAATTAGTTTTTTTATAGGCCGTTAGTAGAGAAATAAGGAAGATTTTGACAGAAAGAGCAAGCAATTTTAGCATTGCACTCGATGATGTGTCCATCACAAGCCTGACGTTTGGGAAAGAATTTACTGCTGCAATTGAAGCCAAACAGGTGGCTGCACAAGAAGCTGAGAGAGCTAAATTTATTGTGGAAAAAGCTGAACAAGACAAGAAAAGTGCTGTTATCAGAGCTGAGGTGAGACACAAGAAATCTTGATCCTTATTAGATCAAAGGCTTTCTTATGTCCATTCGACTTACATTTAAAAATCGATCCCCTCCCCCTTTTCCTCGCTTTAATTATTTATCCTCTGTGGTTGACAGGGAGAGGCCACCAGTGCTCAGCTCATTGGTCAAGCTATTGCCAACAACCCTGCATTTATCACTCTAAGGAAGATTGAAGCTGCAAGAGAAATTGCACATACCATCGCAAATTCAGCCAACAAAGTTTTCCTCGATTCTGGCGATTTGCTGCTGAACCTACAGAAGATGGAGTTCGATACAGCCGGGAAGAAATAATAGCCTCACGTAGTTGAACTCATTGTCAGCACAGTCACACCCCCTCTTTAAGTTTTCCTTCTCATAGTTGTCCATTGGGGATGCCTCATGAAACAATCCGTGAACAAATGCTTAATTATCTTTTGAAACGAAGAATTATATTTGGCTTCAAAAAAATTTTCTGGAGTTGTGCAGCTCCTAGGAAACCTTTAAATGAAATGCAAAATCATTTGGACAAGTACTGAACCATTTTTCACGTTGTCTGCAGATGATTATTCTTGTAATTCCATTTTCCAATGCTTAGGTAAACATGATCCATTGGAAGTGGAAATCACAAACTGTTGCTTGCTTGATTCCTTGATCTTTGTCGTTAAAGAAAATAAAAGAGCAATTGCATGATCACAAATGGATTCACTCTTCCTTATATTATCATCTTTAGTAATTTAAGATGTGAATGACTTATTCAAGATTCAACAAATGCATCAGTGATGAATTGCGAAAAACGAAAAGGTAGTCTGAAAATATTCTAATCGCAAAAAACAAAAACCGTAGTCATAAAGAGTGAAAAAAGAAAAGAAAATTCTAATCATAAAAAACAAAAAGTTTAATCATAAAAAAGAAAGAAAAAAAAGAAATGGTTTGAGAGACGATTTCGTAATGCATCAGAGCTCGTAAAAACTAGTCCAAAAATATCGTAAAAACTGAAAATAAAAATTGAAAAACCTTATGAAGTTCGACAAACAATATGAATTTCGGGTCTATAAATGTAACATCACGAACATCTGGTACCAAGAAACTAGTGGAACAATTTCTTTCAGTCATATTATGATGAGATTCTTATGGATCGTTGACTACTTATGAAGTCTTACGTAAGAAGTTTAGTGCTCCAAACAGTTAAGAAGAACAGTTTGTGTGAAGTTGCTGGTTATGTGAAACAAGAGGAAGAAAAATAGAATAAATTATAAATTTATCTCTTTAGTTTTGAGAAATGAATTAACTAGTCATTTTTGTTCATTTTATTTTCTTTTCTATTTAAAAAAAAGTAAAAAATAAAGATGTAACGAAAATATTATGAGAAAAAAAGACTTTTTTTTTAAAGATTGTTCAACAATGATTAAAAGACTAAAAAATTATTTTTTTAAAACAAGAGAGACTAATTAATTTATTTTTCAAAAAAAAAAAAAAATTTGTCATCTATTCAAGAAAAAACTAGTAGGTGTTTTTGTTCAAAACATCTTTATCATCTGACTTCATTTTCCCTGTTTGTAGTGCAAGATTCGTATAAATTTTGCCAAGTTGAAAAACAAAATTTATATTTAACATATACGGATTGACCTTTTTTTTTTTTTTTTTAAATGTGATTAAGGTTTGATTCAATGCAAATGGTTGCGAGTCAAGAAAATTGGTTTCATAAAAAAAAAAAAAAAAAAATTCAATCAGATTTTAAATAAATTATGATATCGATAGTTATATATTCACGAAATATTTAGTTATAACCGTCTATTTTTAAATTCAATTTGAGACTATAATATATATTTATTTTGGTTTGATGACAAGGGATATCATTTAATTTTATGTGTTAATTAAAATTAAATTCTTTTGTCAAATAATTTTTAAAGACACCTCTCATATCGAACTAGTAGATTTAAATACATATATTTTTTCGAATATTGATTTTCAGAATTCAAATACAACAAATCGAAAATAAAAACAAATCTCTTTAATCATCGGACCTGAAAGATGGGTATTTTTTCTGTAATATATGGTAAGTGACTCATGTTATCATAGAACAAGAAAACTATAAAAGAGGCAACTTCCATACCATGACAACATGTTCTATGTTTTTAATAATTGAGATTAAGTTATCTTAAACTTAGGATCAGATGAGGTAAGAATCTGATGTAAGGTGGTTGGAATTTCCAAATCCTTGCGTGGTGACAACTACCATGTCTTGATCAAATCTTGATCTATTAGCAACTTGTTTATGCTCCTATAAAACCTAGCTACGTGGGCAGGGTAACCAAATTTGGTTGCTAGTGATGCATCTCGACAGCTATTTTGCTTTGTAATTAAAACACAATTACTTCTACAAGTCCCTTATTTCAAGAAGAAAGATTACGCTATTAATTATTGGGTAAATAATTCAATATGAAAGTATATAATAATATTTTGAACTCTATATGTTATTAAGTTTTTTATTACATGTCATCTGTTCTTGAAAATTATTTGCATATTTGATATGTTTTTCGATTAATTTTTTCGATCATGAGAAAAAATTTTGATCGAAATTGATCAAAAATACCTTGATTGAACAAGTATAAAACAAATATTTTAAGACTTAAAAAATAAAACATACCGTTCATATGATTTTAAGTGTTTTTTTTTTTTTTGCATTTCAGTAAATGACATTTCGGTAAAAAAATTATTTATACATGGTTGAAAAAATTGATCGAAAAAACATATTAAATAATTAAAAAAATATTAAAAACAAATAAAATATAATTAAAAAACCTAAGGACACATAGAAGACTCATAATATTATAGAAACTCGATTAATTTCTAGTCTAGCAATTGATTGTTTTCTTTCTTTTTTTCTTTCATTGTGGTGATGATTAGCCATAGAGAATGAACTATTGGGCTTGTAAAACGTGATTCCCTAGCAATACCCCTTTGAAAATTGTAAAAAAAAATAAAAAAGGATAAAAAGCTACTCGTGACAAGAGATATGAAAAGGTAGGTCCCAAAACGAAACTTCTATTGTCACAAATTGCTTTGGAAAATACCTTATCTTTTTGTTTTTTGTTTTTTTTTGAGGTTGGTTGGGAAAGATGACTGCCAACTACATGTCATTTAGTTGGCTACGTAGAATAAGTGAATGACAAGTCTTTTGTGTTGTTGCAAACAGTGTTTCAAAGGCATTCTGAACGTTAAAATAAGTTAATGATTAAGAAATTTAACAAAAAATAAATGTATTAATCAAAATTAAACTGTAGAATGTTACGTAAAATTATTTTACAAAATATATATAATGAATCGTAATTTTTTTAAAAATAAGGATGCAAAGTGTCACCGATATCAAATTATAGGAGTATTTAAGCTATCTAGTCATTTAAAAAATCCACAAGGCGGCTCCATGAGTGAACCTTGCATCCGCGAAGCAGCCAATCATACAGTAACTGGAACCTTGAAACACGTTGGGGCATGCATTTGTGACGGCACCGCACGTCATAACGCGGGTAAGACACGATGCACCTGATGGCGAGACAGACAGAGACACGTCACCTTTCATGGCATTCAGATCCACGTGGGGGGCCCAGGGGTTGGCGTTACACGGACTCTTGATGACGTGTTCGTTGAGGCTCAAGTTTGTCGCCTAGCTGACGTCAGCTCTAGCACACCGTCCTCCAGCGGCATTTTCTTCGCTTTCTTTGCGCGTTTGGTCAAATACGTGGCAAGGATTAAGTAGTTAATTATATATATATATATATATACATGTATGTAGAAACTTTTTGAACTATTGGCCGAGTCTATTAAAAGTCTGAATTTTTATTTTTAAACAAATTCATTTCTAACCCATAAATAGGTATAGTTTAACAGGTTTTTTTTTAATAAAAATATCGTGTCTTTTTATTTATATCTATTTTTTTAAAAAAAATTATATGATAAAAAATTAAATAGTATATTTTATTTTTAATTAATATTATTTTTATATCGTCCATAATTAAATTTACAAACTAATAATTTAATAAAATATGGTATGAAAAGAAAAAAAAGAGAGAAATTTTAAAATAACAATACTTATTTTATAAATTTATTCAAGAAAAATATAGAAAAAAAATCGTATACTAATCCATCAAAAATATCAATATTCCTATTTAAATTTATTTTTTGTTTCTATATCTATTTTTTTTATCGAGTAAATATTATTAATTATTTTTGAACAAGAGATAAAAACTATTAAAACAGAACAAATTTTTTAAGACAAAAAGAATATATATTAATACAAATCAATAGTTTACTTTTAAGATTGAGACAATAAAATAGCCTAATTCGAGAGAAATTCTATCCTTTTAAACTAAAGACAAAACAAAAGAAACAAGAAAATGTCTCGTTATTCCACATATAAATCAAACCAAGCACACCATGATGTTAGAAATCTTCTATGGTTTCCAACTACGTAAGCACAAATGATTTTATTTTTATTTTTATTTTTTCAGTTTTATCATTTTAGGTAAACGTCATAGCTTGTTGAAGTCATCCCATGCCCAATTCTAGGTACCCAATTTCTGTATTCTTTTTGTATAGGTGGACAAATTGGATAACAAAACCGCCTTCTCTCGTGGCATGCTATTTTAGAAAAAGGGTCATTCTCAATGAATTGCTTTTGTTTTATCCTTTAAGCTATTATCCGATTGGTTTATTTATATCAAAACATTATCTTATTCTATATCGATTTTAGATAAACAAACTATTTAAATTTAATTGATAATTAATGTTGGTATCATTCAAACAAGATCTATGATTAATCGAATTGATTTTATATACGAAACAAGATTCCACTCCGTTCGGATCTTAAATAGTTTATCTAAGTCAAATCAACATATTCCACTCCGTTCAAATCTTAAATAGTTTATCTAAGTCAAATTAACAGATCAACATAAATGTTCATTTAAACTCGATCAATGATCAACAAAAACATTTTTTCATCATGATTTTTGCTACAATTAAACTCAAAATAGTAATTTAATGTCATTCTATATAGAAGTTAGATAACCTATTTAAATTTAATCAATGATCAATATAGGCATCCATTTAAACTCGATAACCGACAAATCAGATTAGTTATTGTGTACGAAAATAAAATTCTATTTTATTTAGATCTTAACTAGTTTATCTAAATCCAATCAACAATAAACATAAACGTCCATTTAAACTTGATTAGTGATCAACAAATACTTTTTCTTAAGTGTTTTTAATCTACGTTAGAGATAAGACTAATTATATTTGGATCAGTAATGACTAAATTTAATTCTTTTTAACAAGTATTAATTTGAAAAAACAAAGAATTTATCATCTAAGGTCATTCTCAATAATACGTAACCACATTACATGCCCTAATAAAATCTAAAAGCAAATAGCAAAGAATGACAAAAATAAAACGTCAGCCACAACCCTCACACAGCGTGTGACCAAAAAAATAAGCCTAACTGCCGTTGACGCCTGACTCTTTCAAATGGATCAAGTCATCCCCTTCTCCATTCTTTTATATACCCTTCTCTTCTCCCCATTTCCAAGCACCATACCTCAACATACACAAACCCATCTTCTCTCTTTGTTCATCTACCGTTCAAACCATGCAACAGGCAATACCTTACAAGTCATGGCTACCTTTATACACCAACAACAAGCCTCTAATAAGCCCTTCACAGCTCATGAGCCACCATAACAATGGTGGAGTGGTTGCAACTCAAGAAGTGCTAAAAGGGTCAAGAAACATGAGCAAGATGGTACAAGAGAATGCAGTCATAGTGTTTGCTAGACGTGGATGCTGCATGAGCCATGTAGTGAAGCGGTTGCTTCTTGGGCTTGGAGTGAATCCAGCAGTTTATGAGATCGATGAGGCTGATGAGGTCAGTGTTTTAGAAGAATTGGAAATGATCAGCAACGATGGTGGAAAGGGGAGTAAGAAGAAAGTACAGTTTCCTGCTCTTTTTATTGGTGGAGAGTTGTTTGGTGGATTGGATAGACTCATGGCTACTCATATTTCAGGAGAATTGGTCCCTATTTTGAAAGAAGCTGGAGCCTTATGGCTTTGATTTTTTTTGCAGTTTTTTTCTTGTCTAGCTAACTAATTGATTTCCTTTCTTTTTCAATTTTTTCCTGTTTTTGAGTTGAGAATATTGTAATTTGTTATAGAAAGAAGGATATACTAAGTGGATCTTTTTCTTTTTCATTTTTTCCTCATTTGATGTTGTTTTGTTCTCCTTCCAATGATTAGAACTAACAAGCAGATGGGAGGATCAAGTTCTCCCTCTCTCTATCTCTGGGATGCCAGCCTGACATCTGCTCTGGCAAGTTTCAGTCTTTCACATGTATTGGAGGAAAATGCTAGAATTCTTGTCATGCCCTTTTTGACTTTAGCCAATTTTAAGTGCACAGCTGGTTTTAGGTACCATAGGTGGCCTTTTTCTACTGGGGCTAAATTAAGAGAGATGCTTCTTTGCATTCACATGGAACCCACTTGTTTATGTCTCGCCTCTCTTACATGATAGGCCACCTAACATGTTCTATTAGAATATGATAAGGTGAGAAATACGATACTGATGATCGATCTAAGGTTTCAAGAGAAGAAGCATGGCAGAGTGGTTGAAATTTGAAAACCCTAGAAACATATGCAACGTTGGTTATATGCCTAATAGTATCTTACTTGTAAAACACAGAATCCATATAGCAGTTTGGAAGCATACATGTATTGCATTAAAAAGGAATAAATACGGATACACGGGGTGAGGTTTTGTTTGGTTACAAGCAGTTAAATTGTATCTAACCATGATTCAAAATCATCCAAAACTTTGGACTTGCTGACAGACTGAGAGGAAGAAGATTGAATTTCATAAGCAGCCTTCATTTCTGAAGGCTGATGCAAATTGTTTTGGTTTGATAAATTAGATGTTTCCTCAAGTAAATCATCAAGTACAACATCTAGAGTGGCAGCTATAGAAGGGGTTTTCGCCGAACCAGCAGCATTTCTTGCGAGTAGGGGCACAGGCGTAGCAGCCTCTTTCTCTTGTGAATCAGATGTTTTCTCAAGTAAATCATCAAGTACGTTGTCCAGGGTGGCAGCAGTGCAAGTGGTTTTTGCTGAGCCAGGGGGTGCCGGTGCTTCTTTCTCTGAAATGGGTGAAGCACCGGACCCTAGGCCAGAAGAATCAAGTAGCTTGGTCTCACTAAGAGAATCAAGAAGCATATCCAGTTCGGACTCGGCAGCTGCTGCTTCGAACGTGGGCAGCTTGCTCTCAGGGGCAACAGAACTCACATTGAACTGTGCTGAGGACTCCAGAGCTGTGCTTTGATTGGATTCGCCATGCTGATTTGAATTCAAATTATCCTTGACATCTGATCCCTGAATTAATGAAATTGGGTTTGAATTGCCTATGGTCAACCCTGATGCAAAAACCTTGGCATTTTGATTGACAGCCTTATTCTTCTCAGAAAAATCTTCGAAGGCCAAGTCTTCGGAGATTGTTGAGGTTGCTTTAACTTGAGCTGCTGGTTTTCTGTCAGATCCATGACTGCTGCTTGCCTCTGATCCTATTGTTCGCATTTGGTCAAATTCCTGGTTGCTGCTTGTATTTGATCCCTGGCCAGATGGTCAAATAAACCAAGTTACACGTAGCTTGAGATATTGAAATCTAGCGAATAGACATGCAATTTTCATCCTAATCTTATTTTGTCAATATGCAACATATAGTGACAACTTCGGAAACAAGAAATGCCCCACCAATTAATGTGCAGAGAGAGACTATTTACAGGAAGGCAAATAAGAACAAAAAGAAAAAAAAAACAAGAACCATGTGTGATTAACCATTTGTCGAAGCACCTTATGTAACGACAAACACATCTGAGTGAAGATATTTTCAAGCTGCTAGTTCTTGATCTAAATATCACTAGCAAGCAATCACTAAGATACTTCCTCTAGATATCTTTTAGGATTCACTGAATATTTTGCACATGTTTATAAAGTACAAGTTAACTCTGAAGGAAACATTTTCCTTGAAACATCATAATGTTACTGAAATACCCCCAGCTCTATAAGACCCTACATAAGTGGGCAAACTTTTCTTGGTGTCAAAAGTAGTGATCAGCATATACAACATACATTCAAAGGTCAAATGAAAATGTAGAGCATACCGATTCTGTTGGTAATAGATCTGCTTCAATGAAGAGCCTCTCTGATATATCCACTTTAGCTAATTGTTCCGCAAGATCATGCAAATTCAGGGAGAGAAATGATGCCTAACAAAAAATGGGTAAAGAAAAATGAAAGGGAGTATAAGATAAGCCAAGTGAATGAGCATGATGGAAAAGCAAAGGCAAGTGGCATTGCTCTACGATAGTGACAAGAATAACGGCATTAGCATGAAGATATTGCATAGCAGTTCTACTTGTCATATGCAAGAAAACCACGTTATTTCGAGCTATGGATTCTTCTGCACTTCTCTTTAATTTTTCTTAAACTTGTAAGCCTACAAAATTCATAAAATTGCCAACATTAAATGGCATTTTGGACAAGGAGCACACGAATATTATAGGAAAGCTGAACTCAAAATTATTCTCACAATCTCCTATGAACAAGGATTGAGTTCCTTACTTTCTGTCCTGATTAGAGAAGGAAGTGTGGGCATAGTCCATACCATACCAAATCACTTTAAAATTTTATTTTCTAAGATACTCATTGAGCTTAAAAAATACAATAAGTGTCAATATAACATAAATCAATCATACATCCAGATGCAACCTAGGTTTGAGCATATGTCTTGGATGTTAATATTTCCTCTAAACATGCTATTTTGGTTGTCCAACAAGCTAAAAAGCAAACACGAACCAGGGTCAGGATAAGCCAGCTTTCCTTCTGCATCATGTTCCAACACATTGTACGCAGACAAAAATAATTTGTCTGGCTTGCATGTATGGAATAAGAAGTTGAAGAAAACAAAAGAAGAGAGCCCTACATAAAGTCTTCCAGCATAACATTTCTACCCTTATTCTACACATAAATTATTTCATCGCACAGATCAGTAACTTTTAGCCCCAATCAATGGAAAAAAGAGAATTCTAATTTATAATAAGAGAATTATCTCTACGAACATCTATTTTCAAACTCAAGATGATCGTTTGCCCTTGGAGAAACAGGGGAACCCAACTTAAGCTAAATTACTTTCGTCATCGCAAAAGACAATTTCAAATTAGCACACAGCCTAATGGTAAACCATAGTTTCATTGTCATGAACTAGGGTCTGGGTTCAAACCATTCGTTATGCCAGCTTGTTGGCAGCTAAATCTGACCATTTTCAGGTGGGAAGAGAATGGAAAAACAAAAAATAAACAAGAGGATAGTAAATCTATTTCCCCAATTACCAGCATATCCAGAAGCTGCTTCAAGTATTAAATTATTGGATTAGTAAACACATTTGCAATTGAATTGCTAGATTCCTTCTGTCATTTAAATATCTTACTCTAAACAAAAACAAGAGAGAATATTTAATGAATAAAATGAAAAATAGTCAATCACCTCTTGAGTTGAAGTAGTTTCATCCTCCACAACAAAATTATCATCCCCAATCCATGATAGAATGCTTTCTCCCCTGACTGAAAGCAAGGGGCCCACTCCAGGCATAAATTCCTCTGCCATTATGCATTTCTAGTCAATAATTTACCAAAATTCCAAATGAAAACAATCTCAAAAACAGTGTGCTTCATGCAACCATTTCTTCCACATAAAAACCGCCAGGAGGACCAGTAACAATGTCAACAATAGAGTCAGATTGATTAGTCAATAACCATAGACAATGAGTAACAACTGGATTGCACACAGCAAAATGCTAGTTAGGTGAGAAATTGGCAACAATTCAGACAAGGGCATAATCAATTTCCGAACTTTACAAAGTGTTTGCAAAGCGCAAACTACAGGTCATGGAAACAAATAGAAATGGGAAATGTTCATAACAAATAAACAAGAGATAAAAACTTTAGAAGCTCACACTGAAAAGATCTTTCAAATTTATACATAAATTGCAACCAAACCTGAGCAAAATTACTACAACGATTAACCTGTTGAATCCCCACCGGACACAACTTTGAAAACCTAGTCCACTTACTGAACAACAAAGAACCTTTAATTCTTGAAAAAGACCAAAAAAAAAAACCCCCCAACTTCGATTCCGTACAAGCATCCATCACATTTCATTGCAAAACAATTCAAAATGCATTATTAACTACGCATTAATTCACCATTCCTTCTCTTCATCAACATTCAAAAACTTGCACAAATGCAATTAATAAAAACTATAAATTCATTATAATATAACAATCAAAACCCACCAAAATCATTAAAAAAAAATTACCAGCCAATAAATCCTCAAGAGAAGGGAAGTAGTCACGTTGGTGACATTTTGATCGAGCTTCATCAAGGAGGTATTTAAAGTCAGCACCCTTACTCTTTGGCAAAACAGCACCATCATCCTTAAAGTTTGGTTTTTTAAGGTTATCTCCAGATGGGTTTTCAAGATTCACTCCAAATTTATCTTCCTCATCATCTTCATAACGATCCCAGTTTGATGGAAGACGTGATTTTTGGGGTTTTTGCTTGTTTTCAGTTGATGGGGTTTTGCTGGGTTTTTGATTTGGGTGCGGCTTTTTGCTCTTGTTGTGCTGTAATGTGTGTGATCTCTTTGATTTTGCCAATGCTTTTGTGTCCATTTTGGTACTTCCCGACCAGATTTTGGAGAACTTTGCTTCTTCTATTAACTACCTAGTGCTCCAGTAGTACTAGAAAACTCCCTTTGGTTCGTGTTTCTTAGTAACCGATTGGTCATACAGAATTGAGGAGTCTAAGCCCATTATACATATGTGGTAAGGGCCCACATGGAATAGAGGCTCAAACTAAAAGCCCAATACATGACACATAGGGCCCAAATAATTTAGTCCCAAGGGCCCATATTGAATTGATGCTCAAAACAAAAGCCCATTGAGCAAACAACAATGAAACTCACAACTTTACCATTTAAGTCATAAGAGTTACTCCTTACCCAAAAGATTACTAGAGAGGCAATTCCTGTAAGTAGGAGATAATATAGCAAATTACAAATTAGCCTTTTTAGTTTTGAAAAAGAAATTAATCTATTCTTTTTGTTCCAAAAATTATTTTTTTCCGTCTTTTGATTAGTGTTGATGATCTTTAATTTAGTGCTATGTTATTTTAAAAAAACTTATTGTTTTCTCATCAATATTTTCATATTTTTTCTCATTTTTCTATTTATTAAAATAAATTATCAAAATAATTGAAAAAGAATGAAAAAAATTAAGCTACAAGAAAATTTGAAGGTATAGATATTAAATAATTAATTTTTTACAGAAAGGAGTTAATTAGTTCATTTCTCAAAACTAAAATAATTAATTTATTATTTACTCCAAATAATGTGTATATTTCAACATCTTTTTTGTCGAGTATGTGCGTGTCCTTCTTCTTCTTCTTTTTTTTTTAATGATTAGGATATCTTCAAGCTAGATCTCTCACACAACTATTTAGCTATTGCAATTCTTTTCTGGGTAATTGGGATGTATTTCTTCTAGGGAATTTACTTATAAATATTAAATTGATCTTATAAAATTGAGATATCTTGTTAGAATTGGCCATACCCAATATTCTCCTAAAATTTGCTCAACTTTTTAATAGATTTTGTTGATTTCTCCTAAACTCTACATATACGCCACAAAATCCATGAAAGAAACATATGGTAGATGATGACACGAAGATTGAGTCCTTGAAAGTAAGCCTAAGAGGAAGAAATTCATATTGTTTAAATGGTTCAAATCTCTCTTGAATTTTAAGAGTCGATTTTTCAAGTTTTAATTTTAGATTAGACCTCCCTCCAACTATTTTCAATTAAAATTAGATTATTTTGTTAAGTTTTTTAATCCTAATATATAGATGTAATTCCTCAATAACGAAAAATATGTCAAAACTTATAGACGTTTTTTTTCTATAAAATTTGTCTTTTTCCTCCTAAATGCTAAGAAATTAATAAGTAATTAAAGAACTTTTGTTTAGTAAAAAACAAATTTTGGCTGCAAAAAGTAAAAAATCTATAAGTTTTTCCATAAGTTTTAGCTATTGAAAAGTTAACTAAGTACAAATCACATGTATTTTTATAGTTAAAATTGATTAAAAAATTAATAAAAAGATTTAATTTCAAATAAAAACGATTAAACTTTTTTTTAATTCAAAGTCAAAAAATAAGAATTCGTTTTTCAAATGAATTAAAATTATATATAAAAAAAATCTATACTGATTAGCCGAAATTTATGATTCAAAGCAATCATGCAAAGACCCAAAGGAAGCTAGTGGGATATGGATAAATTGGACGGTGGAACAATCCGTGGCAACTAACATGTGATGCCTACCTCAACAGACTGTGCATGGCAATTGGCAAAGCATGCAAATCAGCAATAATTAGCTTTTCCCCATTTCTTGGTTGACAAGGCAGCCAATATTGAATTTATGTGAAATGACTTGGACTAATTAATAACATAATTTAATTTATATTATTATATATATATTACGCAAGTGCAAGCCAGCTTAGACAGCAAATTCTTTTTTTATACGTATCCATAGAAGATTCACAATTAAAGTTGGAGGAATTATGGAATAGGATGGAGGGGAGGTGCACAATATATATATATATATATGGAGATTATTTAAAATTTTATAGTGGGTTAATTGCTTAATCTGTTTTTGTATAATAAAATAATTATATAATCTGTTTTTATATATCTAAGTGAGTCAATTTTATTCTTGAATATAGGTTAAGTTTTTCATCTATTTTTTAATAAGATTTTTAAGTTAAACCATCAAAATTAATCATTTAGTTTGTAAATAAAAACAAATAAAAGTTTTTTATTTATCTGACTTGTGTGGATATTTTAAAAATAGAAGTTAGTTATTTACGGATCACGTGAATATTTTCGTTGATTTTAATTACCCAAAAATCTTGCTAAAATAATATATCAATTAAAAACTTAATGTGCATTTAAAAATAAAATTAACTCAATTTAAAATATTAGTATAGATTGTGTAGCTATCCGACTTTTCTAAGACTCCCAAAAAAATTATTTAAATGATTTGTTTATTTTGAGTTATTTATTATTTCGAAATTGCTACCTAGTATTAAAGGTAACTAGGAATCTTTAATTAATGTATATTCTGTTAAAAAAAACTTTGATTCCATACAAGCATCCATCACATTTCATTGCAAAACAATTCAAAATGCATTATTAACTACGCATTAATTCACCATTCCTTCTCTTTGTTAACATTCACAAATTCAATTAATAAAAACTATAAATTCATCATAATATAACAATTATAACCCATCAAAATCATTAAAAAAAAATGGCACAACCATAAAAGAAAACCAAAAAAAAAAAAAAAAAAAAAAACCGGATAAGGAATCCTCAAGAGAAGGAAAGTAATCAAGTTGGTGACATTTTGATCGAGCTTTATCAAGGAGGTATTTAAAAGAGAAGCAAAGATTTGAAAAAAGTTTTCAATTTTGAAAAGCCAGTTTCCTAAAATGAAAAGTCGGTTTCCTATTGCAAAAATCGGTTTTTTAATTTGAAAGTCAGTTTTAAATTTGAAAGACAATTATTTAAAAAGAAAATTAGTTTCCTAATTTAGGTTTAAGAGTAATTTGAAAAATTATTCCTATTATGGGCCTCTAAAAAATATCTAACCCAATTTATTTAGATGGTTCAAATTAATTGGGTTAAAAGAATTTGGACCAATAGACTTAATTTAAAAACCCGTAAGATTTTTTTATGGAAGGATAAACTTGAACACTGCTGGATAAGGTTTAGGGTTTTCAAAGATAAAGTTAGACAAAACTCACATACATTGTAACTATTTGTCCTTAGGGGACAATGATGCCGCCCTCGTATATAGAAAAGAAAGAAAGAGGTGACAATAAGCTAAAAATTGAGCAACAACACATAACAAAATAAGAAAAAGAGAAAAAGAGAAAAAGAGTTTTCTCTCCCTCAAACCCCCACCATTTCTCTCTCTCTATTTTCTAGGGTTGGTGCAAATTACCCTATAGGATTTTTAGAGAAAATAAACTAAACAAAAGGGTTGGAGCTAGCAATCTGGAATTTTTATAGCTTTTTGTATGGGTGTTTGAGCTACCCGAATAATCAATAGAGGTCGGACACTTAGATGGTTCTCTTTTGGCTTGAATTGATTCATCACTATAAGAGATAATCTTTCATCCATATTTATATATGATTAGTTGATTCAACGATATGATTTTGAGAACCTTAGATGAAGGAAATTTTTATTTATTTATTTCGCTCCTTCATAGGATGCAAGATCTTTTAAATTCTTCCCATAAAATCAAACCTCTAAATCTCCTCATTATCACATTATTATCACTATGTGGGAAGAAGTTGAGCAACGAGAGTCACCATGGCAGTGAGCTTTGTTATTGCCATTCTCCTTATCATAAGTTTAAAATTAAAAAATAACAATGTAAAATAAATAAAATGGAAAATGAATGTATTTAAGTTACCTAGTTGGAATAAACTAAGAAAAGTGAGTTGATTATGGTGTTGGTGTTGAGATTTTCCCTTACTTACATATTTTTAGAGGAGAGTATGGAGGTTGGATTGATTTTTGGACATTCGGGATGACAGGGGATGCTTCTAGAATTGGAACTTATGAGGATTAATTGTGCAATCTAGAGTTTGTTATTGTGATGATTAAGGATTCACAAAGTTTGGAAGGGAATGATTATCGGTACTCTTGAGATCCGGAACACCAAGACAAGCCCAAACGAAGAATGGAAACCCATAAAACCTAAAAGCGTCAATCGAAACCCAAAACTTGAAGAACACCAAACCAGAACTTCAACCAAACCTAGAAAATTTGAATGCCCAAATTTTTTGTCTTCGACCTCGCTTTGATTTTCTCTTTTCACCCTCAATTCTCCCACTTTCCGACCTCTTTACCTACTCCTCGTTTATACCTTTTTTTTTTTTTTGGCTAACAACCCAATTTTCCATTTTCTTCCTTTACTATCAATCGTTCGATCAAAATCTCTCCCTCCATTTTTTTATTTTCTAATGTTCTAATCCTCTCAATTTATTGTAGCACGACTTGCGAACCAAGCCAAGGAGAGGGATCAATGACTCGGTCGAAGGAATCAAAATAGTTAGAAAACTAAAAAGGATTGAAACCATTCCAAAGCAAAAGACAGCTAATGAATGTTCACTGTCTCAAATACAATTTGTCCAATCAGTCCCTCAACTTTTAAAAAAAATTTTAATCATGTCCTTCGATTCCTTTCAATTATGCCCTTAACTTGTTCTGATTTTTTTTTTTTAATTTGGCCCTTATTAGCTTCTAATTTTAAGCTAATTTAATGCAATTATGCCCCCAATTGAACTTATCATTCAATTTTGTATTTTTATGTTTTTATATTTATTTGCATTTCTTATTTCTTTTTCTTCTTCTCTTTTATATATTTATTTTTATAAATATTAAAATAAAATAAATATAAACACATAAAAATTAAAATTAAATGAAAAAAATGAAAAATTAAATAAAAATATGAAATACCTAAAATAATAAATAAAGGAGAATAAGATAAATAAAAATAATTATAAAATTAAGGAAAAGCATATACAACCCAAATTTTGGGTTATGA